CCTCTGCCTCATCTTCCTCCTCCTCGCCTTCCACGCACACACTCGCACCACCCGCCCAAGCGTCTCGTCTTCTTCTGCTTGGCGCCGCCGTCGCCGCCGCCGTGGGTGCCAGGCGGCCTTCGCCGCTCGCAAGCTTGTCTCGTCCCGGGTCGGTGAAACAGCAGTGGCCGTAGCACGCGGCCTGGTGATGTTCGTGCACGCGAGGAGGGGGGAGAGGTTTCTGCCGGGGGGGGCGTGGAGGGGGTGGGGGCCACGTCTCTACCGCCCTTCTCTTGATTCGCAGGCGACGCCTCAGATGGAGGAGAGAGATGGTTCTCGTTTGGCAGTTACGGTCTCGGGGGGGACACCACCGGCTGACGTCATCGTGCACCAATATTAGTCGAGTGAGCTGCACCATATGTTAGTATAAGTAGCTGCTTTCGACCAGGCTGTTGATGGGACTGACGTGAGTGTAGCGGTGCTGCCCCACCGAGGAAGCCCTTTGCTTTCGACTTTCAACCAATGGGAAAAGAGAGAGACACCGGGAAATGACTCGTGACGTACACATCAAACGAAGGATTTGACGGTTTCAAACGAAGAGACCAATCGGACGCGCCCGCCGCCATCGTGCGTGTGAGCGCCACCGCACATGCCTGCCTCGCTAGAACGCCGCCGGCCGCAGTGTCCGAAAACACGGCGACAGAGCTTTTATGTTGTCACAATACTCCTCGTACCAGCGTGAAAGACAGTTGTGGAGGGCAGCACGGCCCGCTGGGTTCGAACACGAACGTATGGCTGCTCGCAGCCAGCGCGGGTCGGTCTTTCCCACACTCGCCTCTGCGTCCATACTTGGGTATGTGTATCTCTCTTTGCACTGAGAGTGCCAATGAAAAAGCGAACACGTGTGGGTATATTCGTGCGCTCATGTGTGTATCGCGCGCGCCGTCTCTCACCATGGCCAACAAGCACAAGTTGACGGCCACGTCTGCAGTCTTCGACGGCGGAGTGGGGTGTAACTCGGTGTTCACGTCGCCGCCGCGATATCGCGTAGAGTAAAGCCCCACCACGGAGAGAGAAAGCCAGGCCTGTTTGAGTCGTCGGTGCGGTAAGGTGGAGCGCGGAAAGAAAACAAAGAACGAAACCGTCGACAGCACGCACGCGCTGCGGCGCAAGGGGGTGTTTTCGTCTTGTTTTTTGGATTGTTATTTGGATTGTTCTCGGATGAAGCGGTGGTGGATGGGAGTGGCATCGTGCGGAGTCGCAGCTGGGTCGGCAGGGATGCCACCGGCGCAAAAACAACCCCCACTGCTCCTCTGCTTCCTTTGCTTCTTGGGGGGTGTACTACGCGCGCATGCGTCCGCAAACCAGCACATGTTTCACTGCACCCCCCCCCGAGATAGCTCATAAGCGGACGTACACGTTTGGTCAAGCTCACCACAAACTTTCACCTCTTAATAACTAGATATGCATACGTGTGACACATCCTCTCTTGGCCCGCTCAAATCAAAAGCATCATCTCCGGAGAGCTGCCTGCCTTCTCCGCGAACGCAAAGACGTCAGTCACCCTTGCTTTGGCAGAGCACAACAAAGTACCACCTTATTTTGACAGCCCTGCCACGACCCTACACCTCCGCGTGTCCTCGTTCTCGGCGGGGGACTAAAACCAAACTGACAGCTACCGCTAGACGGGCAGCAGCCATCCTGCTCCTCTTGGTGCGAGCACACGGCACTAACGTACACGCGCAACGCAAAAGCTAGAACAAAAAAATATTGTCGGCTCGCTTGTCGCGGGGAAAAAATACATAGGTATTTTACATCGCCACTCCTACTGTGCATACTCGCTGCATCGTACATAGCACACAAGGCGTATGTATCGGATCGAAAACTAGAATAAGAGGAAGGCTTGCCTATGATGAGAGACCGCAACAACTACAACAACAACTACAACAACAACGTTTACCTTGAAAGGCAGCAACAGCAACAATAACAAGCACAACAACAACAACAACAACAGCTCATTCGCTCACCACGTGGAACTGCGAGCGTGACCCCCGGCGGAGGGCTCTCAGGTGCGAGTAGCCAAGCCCTCCGAAGCATGCCGTCACAACAGCGACAGTCTGCGCGAGTGAGGTCGACCTTCTCGCCGCAAGTCGCACCTGCCGATACGATACGACCAACCGTTGCCGCCACGGAAAGTGACAAAAAATAAAAACGTCGTGCAAAGAGAACAAGCAACAACACCCTGCGGGGAGGCCGGGTAGGATGAGATTTCCGGTGTGTGTGCGCGGGGGAGGTGCGGATGGAATATCAGTTGCGGCGCTCAACATTCTCAACATGTTGCCAGTTATGGTAATTACGGCTGCACCGGCTGCACCGTACGGTTGGGAGCGACCAGGCCGCGGGGAGCGAGGTGGTCGCTCTGGTGCATAACTGACCAGGCATGTATGTTGTACTATTAAGCTGTCGCACCATTCCAGCCCTCTGTAAAAGCGCATGCCTAAAATACCATCTTTTAAGCATGCCCAACAACAGCTCTACACAAGCAGAGCTAATGTGTGCCAAGATAAATCCGATCTCACGACACACGCATAAATAGGAGCTCGGCGTAGGGGAGAGCAACACCTACTGCGCGCAGTCATATATCGTAGAGCACGCACGAGCCATAGGAGAGCTGCCGCGAGGAACCAGGCCAAGTCCACGCGCCTCGCACCCCCCGGCCACGGTACCCTGTCCGCACGAGGGTGCAACACAATCATGGAGACGACGGCGGCGGCGGCGGTGGTGGGGAGCCGGACAACGTCATCGATCTCGGTATGGCGACGGCATCAACCAATGGTCGTTGTGGTTAAAACAAAACAACAGCAACAGCAACAGCAACAGCAACAGCAACAGCAACAGCCACAAAACAACAACAGCAACAGCAACAGCAACAGCCACAAAACAACACCGATAACAACAACAACAACAACATCAACATCAACAACAACAACAACAACAACGGCAACACATGGTTTTGCCGTGGGTTGGTCCGGCATACGTTTCTTTTATGCATAGGGTGTTGCTGCTGTGCACCGTCAGGGGGGGCGGTGCGTTCATAACCACCAGCCGACTATGGCAACGATCACAAGCTCGGGGAGAAGAGAGGGCAGGAGGAACAACCACAGCATCAAAAGTTCAGAAGTGGTGAGCGCCTGGTCCGACACTTCCTTCCGACTTTTGCCATGGCAACAGAAAGCCCTATCGGAGCCTGGCTCCTAGTTGTGTGCTGAGGAGAGGACCGCTTGCTGCTGTACTTCAACAGCGACACCAAGAGGACTGGCTGTATCCGTCAACTTCTGCCCCTATCACCTCTTGTGTACCGCGCCAAGACATCAAATGCCAACCCGTAACGTTGAAGCGCTACGGCGTGCATGTAGTATCCATGTGCATCGGGATGGCCCCGCTGGTACCTCCGTAGCCCACGCTGTACGCCACAAAGGTTACATCCCAACAGAGGGTGGACAACCGCCAGCGGTACTGATTGACGAGACATGCCCGGACCAATGGTCTGTTGTATGTATGCATACCAGGAAAAATGCCGTCATCGAGGCAACAGCGAAAATATCGCCGCCCTTGCTGTTGTGTGTCTCACCGTGCGCGATCCTGGGCCACGTCGAGCACCCGCTTCCAGCCTGGAGGGCTAGCGGTCGTCGACGACATCGCTGATGATGCGGACACGAGGTTGGTGAAGGTTTCATCCAAGTCTTCGCATTCGCAGAAGAACTGCGCGTGATACCAATATAGTGGCAGATTGCGAGCAGCGACTCGTGGTTGGAGAGTGGCAGGCTGGCCCAATCGACGCGCGCGTTTGCGTTGCGAGACGCAAACAGCAGCTGTTTACTATCGGGGTCCTCCCGCACGCGTGTTGGAATCCGTGCCATTCGTTGGCACTCTCGTGTCCCCTACACTAGAGGTAAGGAGCCGACAGAGCCTACAACCACAGCCTGCTCCCTGCGGAGAGAGATACTTCAGATGATGGTCACACTTTTCCGTGAAGTTGTACAGCAGTAGTATTTCGCAGCGGAAGCCTGCAAGCAACGTGGCCAGGGCTGGAGCCTGCGTGGGATTTGACTTCTTCTACAGCTATTATATCAACACGTCAAAGTGACTGCTGTATTCAAACAGGTGTATCCCACTACATCACTTCCTTGACCAGGTTGCAGTTCTATTGACAGTGTGACCCGTGCCTGGAGGGTTTTAGCGAAGATTATCGGCGCGTTTGTGACTCTCTCTCCCGTGCGGGTATTGGCTGGACTGCCCGGTATGGTTGACGAGTCGGGTGTCGTTGTGCTAGCAAAAGGCCTACGCGTAATCGCACGTCGAATGTAGTCTGCACCACAGCGGAGCGTGACTCAAACTGCAGAACGGAGGACGGAGATCAACCGCCATATTCGTTGTATGTACTGCTGTAGATAGTAGATAGCGCGGCTCTTAGCCCTTGCTGCGCGTCAACCGCAATTTCAGTACAATGGGCTCCGTGCGTACTTTCTGTGCGTGAACCACACCGAACAGCAGTGGTGACAAATAGAGAGAGATGCCACAGCACCAGCAGCTCAGCAGTCAACGTACATGGTCGGCGGCTTGGTACTCTTGTGTACAGCACTTGAACAGAGTAAATCTATAGGCAATTATAAGAGCGAAGTCTTCGCTCTATATTGTCATCTTCAGTAGGAGTAGATTGCGACGCATACGATACCCAAACACAGATGGTACCTCTTTGTCTGGTTGATATGCCACTGTGAAACAAATCACCTGTAGGATGTTCCTGATCTCTCCATCCTGGGAGACATACTCGCACCAGTTCTCCATTGATTCGCACGCACGCTCGGTATCACGCGTTGGTACTGCTGTCTGGTGTGGCGGGTGCGGCGCAATCAAGCTTTTGGGGAGAGGCTCCGCAGAATAGATTTTCTCATTTTTTTCTGAACAACAGCCCATTGCTCGCTCGCACGACCTGACCGGTCAACTGGCCCTAGACAATCTTCCAGGCCGGACCCGACAGAGAGAGAGAGAGAGAGAGAGAGAGGGAGAGACAAAGCGGAGAGAGAGAGAGAGAGAGAGAGAGAGAGAGAGAGAGGCGAGAGAAAGGGGGGGGTCGGGCTCCATGTATCGCGTCAGCCGGGAGGGAAGGCGCGCGCACGACCACGACCCTGACAACAACGGCGGCGGCAGGTCTTCTCGGTACAACAAAGAACGCGTCGTCGATGCAGCGTCCTCCTCCGCCAGCTCGTCCTATGCCTACTCCGACGACAAGAGCAAGGCCTTTCCGGTCGCGGGGGGCGCAGCGGGCGTGCTCCGGACGCGCAACTCGAGGGCCTCGCTGTGCCTCAAGCTGACCGCTACGTCTGTTGGCCTCTTCTTGTTGCGGGGGGTGAGTACAGCAAGCAGTAGTGCATTGCCGTGTGCGTGTTTTGTGCCGCTGTGTCTGTGGCTGGCTCCACCGCTAGTCCGTGTGCCAACCTTTGCTATCTCTCTCCCTCTCTCCGCCTCGCAGCAAATGAAGCAGCATCGATTCTTTAGTCTCTAACTCAGCCGCGACGGCGGCGGCTGCACGCGTTCGCAGGCAGCAGCAGCAAAACCAGCCGCTGACTCTCTTTGTCACTGGTTCGGTGTAAAACAGGGGCAGGAGGCGCGAACCCTCTTACTTTCATACAACGCAATGTTCCGTAAGGAGTGCCAGCAAACGATCACCTGGGTAACTTTTCCCAGAAATATGCTTCTTTTCGAATCATCCTGGCCGTGCTTGCGTTTCGAACGACAGCTGTCCCTCACTTCCCTCTCCGCGGGCGGGGGTAACTGCGGTAAAAACCACGAGGGAAAAACAGTGCACGCACGTGCATGCATTTATTTCCTCGGCAGTCGGAACACCTCTCCTAAATTTCTAAAAAATTGAAAAATTTGAATCCGTGCGGAGTGCGGAGGAATCGCCCACCACCCGATAACGAACAACTCTTTTACTGCTGTGTAAAAGTCTGCTGTACGGCAGTGTATCCTTACCACAGCAGTCGAGAGGGACGTGTTGAAATGTCTTTGCAGCTAGTTTCAACGCGTCCCCTTCGACTACCACTGCGACAATTCTCTCAAACGGGTGGCTAGTGAATGTAGAGAGGCGTACTCTATCTCGCCGCAGCCGCGAGCCCTTGGTTACACTTTGATAGTAACTCTTTAGGACTAACCGATGTTGAACGTAGCAAGGCTAGGTTCGCGAGCAAGGCTAGGTTGCTCACCCCACATCTAACCCTAACCCTAACCCTCACCCACGGCCGAAGCACGGCCTAGCGGCTGGGCGGCACGCGGCTGCGCCGCGTGCTCGAAAATGCGGAACGGGAGAGGGCGCTGGAGAGGAATCGGCCGCCAGAACCAACCACGAACAACGCCCGACCAATCAGAACGCGTTAGTCCTAAAGATCTACTATCAATGTGTAAACATCACTGAGCTGCTGCCGTCGCCGCCGCTGCCGGGACGATTTATTTGAACATTGTACACATGCGTCGAAAAAACTCCTGCTGTCGTCACCACATGCCACTGGTTCTTTCATTTCCCCGGCATGAGTGTTACTTGGCACGGCGTGCTGACGCATCACAAGAGGCAGCGATGCAACCTTTCATATTTCATCCGCTTTCGCTTCATACAGCAGGACCGCACGATCCGCTTGGCACGAATGATTGTTCGCCTGCCGCGTGGTACAGATGTGCAATGCCGAAAGAGTTGCCGTTCGAGATGGAAAAAAGCGAAACAGCTGTTACCCACAAGGGAGAAACAGTATCGCTGTGTGCTGCTCTGCTGCTCGGGAAACCGTGGAAATACAGGTAGCTTTCTCTGACGCTATGATTTCATTGCAAGATCTATCTTAGACTCTTTTCTTAGACAAAGATGGATTCGTTGGGTCATATTCAGAAAAAAAAGATAAAAAAGCCCATTTGACGACAGGTGTTGGAGTCATTACAGAACAAGCAGTGGGTGTTGGGTGTTAAGGGCCTAGGGAAACCTGCTGGATTCTGGAATTTGATTCATGAAACCTACACCGTACGCGTGTGTGTCGCAGTGGGATGCAGTCTACAGCGGAACAGACTCTCACGAGGTTTATGAAGGTGCACTGCTGTAGTTGTCAGACTTTGGAGCGAGCTTCGATGCGTGCTTCACTAAATACCAAATACCAAGAGGGTGTCAATGCCGAATGACTGGGTGTTCGCAAAGATCTCAAAGATCTCCATTTGATTGATGAAACCTACATACACCGTGCGCGTGTGTAGCATTGGGATGTATTCTACAGCAGAACAGACAGCACGACGTTTGTGAAGGTGTAGTTGTCAGACTTTGGAGCGAGCGTTGATGCGTGCTTCGCTTTATTCCAAGAGGTTGTCAATGCCGAATGACTGGGTGTTCGCAACGATCTACATGAGATCTCATGAGTGCCGCCCCTTTCGGCCGGCACAAGCCAGCGCTGCACATCTGTGGAAAATCGGCCCACGAGAGTTTATGTCTTGCCTAAAACACAAATGCGTTCCAGAACATTGGAGCACATCTAGTTGGCAAGTCAAAATACCGTAAGCAAGAACACAAGACACACGCATACGTTCATTTCGCCCAAACATTGTAGGGATTTGGTAACTACAGGGCTCCTGTTGTCGTTCATACACCGTCCCGTTCCGGCATGTTGTGCATGCCTGTGTGGACCACATATGTACGGCCGTCGTCACGGGAATTCGGGGGAGGGAGGCACGCCCCCTGGGGTCTCTCTCGCTCCCCAATTGATTAGCCGTTGTCCGCCGTTTTGTCCCTTCCGTAAGGCCAACTCTACGGTAGGTCTGCATTTTGTTGAAAATCACAGAAGAATCAGGTGGAAGTTCCCAGGCCAAGAGGGAGCAGTTGCGAATTTTGAGATCAACTCTTATATTCGGGGAAGGAAAAACACGGGATTTGACTCGACAGACATCAACAGAGGCTACGCCGAAGGATCGGGAGGGATAAACACACACGTACCTGCCCTGTGTTGAGCAGCACCACATCATGAGCACACAAAACGCAAATACGCAATGGCCGGTTGTGTAGATACTTGTAAATGAGAGCATGCAGCTGCAGCGATACCATGATCTGCTACATACTACGGCTGTGCCTGTTTTGAGAAAAGGGTGTCCTCTTTGCCCTCTCTTCACTAAATGATCTCCACATAATCCTGGCTCGTGGACATGTTGTTGTCGATTGGTGGACGGTTGGTGTATTCAAGATCAGCAGAGAATCGAAAACACACGTCCAACATGTATAATCTGTGTCGTCACGATACATATGGCGACACCTACCTACACATCAACACACACGGGGGCACGGGTGCTGTGCAAACAAACGTGCAATTGGTGCCGCGCGCGCGTAACAACGCCTCCACAACGACCTCAAACCCAAATCCCAGCCAAAAATTCCCGCTGGGATTTGGCCCTCAAAGTGATGGTCAAAGGTCTCTCCTCTGGATAGTGGAGAGATCCGATGCGGGTTTGCACAGAGGATGTGCATATGCATAGATAGGTCCTCAGGCAATAAGTTGAAGATTTCGAGATTTTCCAATGCGAGGTCGCACAAAGAATGCAGGCCAGAGAAAATTTCGAACGTCTTCGCTTGTGTTTACACGCGTTGAAAGGAAATTCAACCCCACGTACCCCCCCCCCATGCTGGATGTCGTACTCTTCCTGTCTCTCGGTCTACCTACTACGTGCCCGGGGAACAGGTGCACAGGTCTATGTGCCCAGCGGGGGGGCCGAAGATGCTGACGACGGCGGAGATGGGGTCACGCGAGGCTGAGCTGCAAAGCCGGATTGCCTCCCTTGACCAGAGGCTGGAGGTCGAGGTCGGTGCAAACGGGGTGGGGTTATTGGGCACAACCGGGGGGGAGCTGGGGGGAACTCATGTGAACTCATGTAAACGCATGCCGTAGTCGTTAGACCATAAACCTCGCATCCCTACAACAATGTCGGGTGTTCGCCGGCCCAGGGAGGGGGGAGGGGGGGTATCGGTATTTTGTATTTTGTCAGTCACGCGTATGTACCGTCTGTGTGTGTTTCTCTGTTGGCATCCGCCGCTATAACCGGCTGAACACTTTTTTTTTAACCGGCTGAACATTAAATTCCGTCAGTGTGCTTGTGGATGTGTTTCGTGTGTGTTTCCGATCTGTTCGGTGGTGCTGTTCGCACGCAAGAAGCGAGAGTGAGAGATAGAGATGCCACGCATCCTGGACTAGTTGACGTGACGACCCCCGTTGATGTGATGCACGTCAGGTGCCTTGCGAGCACCAGCCTTATCCTCATCCTTTGGTGTTGATTATGGTGCTGGTGCTGGTTGTAGTGGTAGTGGTGGCGGCGAAGATGACACTAAGTGCGTTTTGGGCTATGGCATGCCAGACGAAGCAGAGTACGGATTCTAGGGAAGTTTGACCTGCCATACGTGTAGAGATATAAAAGTGATCCCTGATTGGGCTCATAAGAGCAGAGCAGTGACACCAAGGGATGATGCTAGATGAAAATATAACCAGGCAGCAGGACGAACTCACAGCTGACTGCTAGCTTAAGTGTGACTTTCCCCAAGCTCAGCAGCTGACGCAGCTGACGGTGTTTTTTGCTCGGACAGCCTAGCGAACCTCAACCAACCACAAAAAGAACATTTACAAATCCGTATACGGCAGTCTTACGTGGTTCAACTTCCTCGGCATGCAACTGTCTCTTAAAGATCGTAGTCGCCACTGCTGCATTCTAGCAGCAGTTGAGTAATGATCGTGTAGCACCGCAAGCACTATTTAGACTGCAATAAAGATCAACACGCCCGCGCAAAAATAAACAACAGAGAGCTTTGAGAAAGACGGCGGAAGATGCCATGGAGGACCTCAAGGCCAACGACCGCGGGCGGGCCGGAATGCCCGGTTCAGGGGGCTCCGACGAGCGGCAGCAGAGAGGGGCGGAGGAGGAGGCGGAGCAGGCGGGGCTTGAGGAACAAGCGGCCTCCCACGAGCCGGTTAGCAGTGTTGCTGTTGCTGTTGCTGTTGCTGTTGCTGTGTTGTTGTTATTGTGGTGGTGGCGGTTGCTGCTTGCAGCAGCAGCTGTTGTTGTTGTTGTTGTTGTTGTTGTTGTTGTTGTTTGTCGCTGTCTTTACGTTGAAGGTCGTCCCGGTCTCCGTTATGCTCCCTACTCCCTTTGCAACATCCGTACAAAACTGGTGCAACTGAAGCGAACTCCTTCCGTGGTCACAGGCCGACCTACCCCAAAAAAGGCACACATGCGGACCCCACAATCAACAAAATCGCTGATATGTACCATAATGGTATGCATAGCACAAAAGACGAAGGATTTTTAGCCCGTTTTTTTGCTCTTGTCCTTTGTATGCCCTCTCGCTCGCTGTGATGTTTCGTTTGATTGGCCGGCGGTATGGGTGGTTTCTGCACGTCAACAAGATTTCGAGGCTCAGTCCCCACGGGGTCGCGCACGGTCGCGTCGTTTATGATGTGTTCTTGTCTTGTTTTTTCTTCGAAAACACAACAATTTAGTCTCTTATCCACAACTGAAGAGTCCAGGATATGTATACTTGGGAGCTTTTTGCTAAGTGAGCTTTATCTGGTGAACAGGAGAAAGTATGTATGTATCACTCATGTCTTCTTTTGCGTCGATACGTGGCTGCTTTTCGACAAGGAGCCGCTGGTGCACGTGGCGGGGGAGGGTCAGCCGAACACCGTGGTGACCAAGAGCGACTACCAGACCCTCCTGCGGGAAACGTACGAGGACCTGGAGGAAAGAATACAGGAGCTGCAGATCCTGACGGCCAAGAACAAGGACCTCCAGGAGAAGGTGTGCGTCCCGCCCGCTAGTGCGCTGCTGCTGCTGCTGCTGCTGCTACTGCGGTCGTGGCGCGTGCGTTGAACGGAATGAGCATATGATCCGTAGAAGCAGAAATCTAGCTATTGTAGTCAGCGCTGAGTAGTAGTCTTTGGTACCTTTTATAGAAGCCGAAATCAAACCATTAAGACTAGACTGGTCAGCCGCTGACTAGAGCCGAAATCAAACCATTTAAGACTAGGCTAGTCAGCCGCTGACTAGGTCTATATTAGTCGTATGGTTTGATTTCGGCTTCTACAGGTCGCACTTGCGTGCATGTCAGTGACGTTTGGTCTGCTGTCCTTCCTTCTCAGCCGGGGCACCGCTACTACTACTACTACTACTACTACTACTACTACGGGGGTAGAGACTGCCCACGCTCCCGAAGGTTTTGGTGTCGATTTTGTGTTGCAGGGACGGAATGTGTGCGTGGTAGCGTCGACCGGGCTGACCAATGAAACGACTGTCAGTGCCAGCGGGCAAGTAAAACCGAGGTCGGTCCCTACAACGGGGCCGAAAAGATGCGCGATGCAGTAAATGCGAGTGCCAAAATGAATCTCTGTGCGTGTGTTTGTGGGTGTCGACGCACGGCGACGCTTGTGGTCGCCTTGGCTTCGGCTGCCCCGACGGCATGTTTGTGGCAGGCGCGACTGCGCTTTTGCGCTCGCTTCACGCCGACGGCCTCACAGGAACACGGTGGATACATGCTGTGCAAGATGAAATGACAAGCACGTGATCAGCCGTCCATCATCGTCCCAAATGTATAGAGTTGCCAGCCAAGAGAACAAGAATGCTTGGGAACGGAGCACACGCACATGCATCATCAAAAGGTACTACCCAAGGCTGTCATCATCCACCCCCCCCCCCCCCTTGCCCCCGATTTGACAACGTTTTCTTCTGCAACTCCAATGTACCAAGGTGGCGAGTCTCGAGGAGCAGGTCGAGTCGCGCCGGCAGCTGGCGCTAGGGGTACACGGGGCGGAGGGAGTGGGTGGTTCATACCACCAGCAACAGGAGCAGCAGCAGCAGCAGCAGCAGCAGCAATGGCCGGACGCTGAGAACGATTCAAACCTGGGGCTCGGCAAGCCGTCGACGGTGAAGCACCGCTTCGGCGCTGGCAACTTCCAGCACTCGGACATGACGATCTTCGCGAACGACGGCATCAGCAACAACAACAACAACAACAACAACAACGACAACGGAGGAGCTCGTGGCGGCACCGGCAAGCGCACGTTCTACGAGAACCCCGATGATGCGTACGAGGGACATCAGAGCAACGAGCCCGGCGTGCCCTTCGAGGTTGAGGGCTGGATCATTGAAGGGGACGAGGGGGACGGGGGGGGCGCAAGCGCCGGCTTCGACGCCGGGGGCTCGATGGACGGCAACAGCAACAGCGGGGGGGGAGGAGAGCACTCCGACCCTCTGGCGGACGTGGAAGTCGGCGTAAGTTTTCCTTTTTTTTCTGGTGTTGTCTTTTTTTCCGGCGTTGTTGTTGGTGTGGTCGCGGTTTTGTCCGTCTGCTTTTTTTTGCTTGTGTTGCATGAACGTTGGACACTGGAATGGTTTGCATGAACGTCGGACACTGGAATGGTTGGCAGCAGTTGGGAAGGGACACAACACCGTTGCGCATGCATGTTGAGATGGGCGTGCAATGATGCGTTTTTTTTTGTGATGTCTGCTCAGAAGCACACCGGTCGGCGGCATTGGCAACCCAGTGGCACCTACGATTGCGTGTGGACTTTCTGTTCTCGCCGGCCTCTTGCATGGGAAAGCCTCTGCCTTTGGAAGGCCTCTAGCACGCGTGTTTTTGAGACGCGAGATTACCCGAACGTGTGCTGCGCCTTTTGTCCCTGGGTCCAGTACCGGAAATTCAAGCTCTTCCGTAAAGAAAGTGTTATGCGTGAGAGAAGGCAGAGCGAGAGGTGGGCTGTTTGGTTTTTTGTTGTGCATGGTTCTTCGTTTCTGTAAACAACGCAAAGCAACACCCTGTCCTGCTCCAGCGGGAGAGAGAGAGAGAGACGCGGGGGTCATTGTTATCGGTCAAGTCATTGTATAAATCGAAAGCCAACCTCCTCCCATTCTCTTGTCTGGTTTGGTGTTCGTGTTTTACGTTATTTTTCCCCATCTACTATCATTTTTCAGGCAGTAACCACCAGCGATGGCGACATCCACGAGGTCCGAAACTTCGGCGCCGGCGGCGAGGACAGCGAGGAACCCCCCATAATCGTCGGAGGCCTCCGCGTTGGCGGCGCCGGCGGCGGGGTGGGGGTGGGGGGGGACGGTGTCGTCGGCGTGGGTGGCCTCGTCGGCGTTTCGGATTTCGGGGACGGCCTTCCCCTCAGTGACCTCGGCAACGCCCTGGGGAACGGGGCGGAGTTCGAGGTGGCGGAAGGCGTCGATTGGGCCAGGATCCGGGACCCCGGCAACGAGGACGGCCGCCGCGGGACCGCTTCCTGGGACCCCAAGGATGACGACGACGAGGAGGAGGAGGGCGGGGACAACAACAACGGGTGGACCGGCGGCGGCGGCGGGGAGAAGGAGGCGGGGAGGCGGGCCTGGCGGCCGACGCGCGCGGAGGGCCTCAGGGGGGAGGGGAAGCGATCGAAGGCGAAGGCGTTCCTGAGGGGGTCAAGGAAGAAGGAGGAAGGCAGGCACGGCGGCGGCGAGGAGGAGGAGGGGTTGCAGCGGGCGGAGGGAGCGGAGGGAGCGGGCGTGGGGCCGAACGGGCTCGCGCTCGGAGAGCTTGTCGACCAAGACTCCGAGGACCCCAGCAGCGAGGAGGAAGGATCGTCGGGTGGGGGAAAGGAGAGTTTTTCTGGGGAGGGCGATTGGCATGACGCCGGGAGCGGGAGAGAGACGCCGCCGCCGCTGCGGCCGCTGCCGCCGCCCGCCCCGGTTGTCGTCGATACCTCTGAGGAGGAAGGTGTGGTAATCGTGGGCGCAGTCCCCGGGCACAAGGCGGCGCTTAACGAGGACGATCTGCCGGTAGGGGGGCGGGAGGCACGGGACGATGTTGCCGGTGGGGTGCCCCCCGCTCCCCCCGCCGCCGCCGCCGGGCCGGCCGAGGCCAAGACGAGCGTCGAGCGCATGGAGCGCGAGAGCACCCACCTGACGGCCGCCCAGCAGGCCGAACGCGAGGAGTCCCTGCGGAGGACGGCGTCGGAGAACGCGGCTGTGGGACCGCTGGCGGCGGTGGTGGAGAGGGCCCAGGCCGAAGCGGCAGAGGCACTGGAGGCGGCGGGACAAGCTACCGTGCTTGCACCACCGCGCGGAGCCCCCCCCGAGACCACAACCGGCCAAGAGACGGAGCAGAGAGCCGTTGGCGAGGGAGAAGAGGAGCGGAGAGCCGTTGAGGAGAAGGAGCCGCCGGCGCCGGCGCCGGCGCCGCCAGCGGAAGGGGAAGGAGAAGGAGAAGTGAAGTCGGGCGTGGCAATTATGGAGGCGATCAAGAATCGAGCGATCGAGGAGGCGAGGAAGGCCGTGGAAGCGGCTCCCCTCGGCCGCGAGAGAGGTCGGGCTGAGTCGAAGGCCAAAGCTCAGTCGTTAGAGGAGAACGAGGAGGGGGGGGAGCCAGAGAGGGGTCGGCTGCAGAAGCAAAAGGCGCACGAGGAGGCGCTCGAGGAGGTGGAGAGGAAGGAAGCGCAGAGGCTTGCTCGGGAGAGGAAGGAGGACGAGAAGGAGGCCGCCGAGAGGCAAATGGCGCACGAACAGGACAGGGCGGCGCGCATGGGGGCCCAGCGGAAGGAGAGCGACAGGCTGGCTCGTGAGGAGGCGGAGAGGAAGGAAGAGCGAGAGCAGGAGCATGCGAGGAAGCAGGCCCAGAAGCAGGCGCGCCTAGAGGCCGAGCGTAGGGAGACGGAGAAGGAGCGCAAGGCGGCAGAGAAAGCGGCCCGCCGGGAAGAGGCCGAGCGGAAGAAGCGGGAGGCGGCGGCGGCGGCAGAAGAGGCCGCGGAGGAAGAGAGACAGGCCCGGGTGAAGGCGGCGTTCTCGGAGATGGTGATGGGGAGGCCCGAGGGCGGCGGCGGCGGAGGAGGAGGAGGAGGAGGAGGAGGAAGAGCGAACCATCACCACCGGGAGCAGCCCCCTCCCGCGGCGGAACGGCACCAGACGAAGCTCCGCCACGAGCAACGCTTCCCAGATCGCGGCGACGACGACGACGACGAGATGCGGGGCTCGTTTGCCGTCCGGGAAAGGCGGAACCCTCGCGACGACGAGGACGATGAGTTCCCCGACGATGACGATGGCGATGACGATGACCGTAGCAGCGGCGGCAGCAGAGTCAGGGACGATGACGACGAGCAGGATGATGATTTTGACGAGGAGGAGGAGGAGGAGGGCGGGCCGCTGCCGGGCCGTTGGCAAGACGGGCCGCGCGCCGTCTCCCCCTCGGAGGTGAAGAGGAGGGTCCAGGAGCGGCACTTGTAGTTGCGGCAGTGGTGATTGTCGTTTTTGCCGAGGTGAACAAGCGCAGTAGAGCGCAACGAGAGAGACAGAGAGAGGGGGGGAGGGAGGCCCGTGTATATGTAGAGGTGGATGCTTTTTTTTCGGCATGGTGTTTTTGTGGGGACTATTCCGCTCGGGTGTTTTTTCCTGCGAGCGCGTCCCGGTGGTGTATGTATGAGGTGAAAGGATAGTCGCGGAGTTGTACATTAGAAGACGCTCTGATAGGCTTTGCGTTGGTGTTGTTCGTTGGGTGGCAGAGCGAGTCGTTCTCGCCCCCCACACCCTCTCCCCTTTGTTTTCCCGGCGATCTTCTTGTGTTCCTGGCCGATAATTGTCTGGGTCTATTCTTACACCACCTGTTAATTTTTTTTTGCATGCTGCCCCTATTCTCGGCTGCGAGAACGAAAAATAAAAAGTGAAAGCTGCCAAGAAATTTGGATGGGGCGAGTGTGTGTGCGGTTGGGGTTCAAGCCATGCATGTGCGGGGACAGTTGAGCTGCGCTTCCCCTCCTGATCAATTTTACATTTTCAATCCTTGGATTTGTTTAGTAGTCGAGACGTCCGTATTGGTCGTGGTGTTTTTAGTGCGGGGGGCGCCGTTGAGCGCATGCTATTGTAGGACCGGCTATCTACGCCCGCCGCCATCGTGTAACCTGGAGAGTGCATCACGTACGTGCATATTTAGTTAGGTAGAGTAGGACAAAAAACTGCCACGCACCGCATGCGGTTGCGAAAAGGGTAGCCCTCTGTGTTGTCTCGGGAAGGGGGGGCGGGAGGTGAGGTACAGCAGTTTTCTTGTCATTCGTGCGAAGTGGCTGTGGGGGGTATGACGCTCCCTAACACGCTACCGTCACTACCTCTTGTTGTCCTTAACCCGTTGGTGCAAATAACGCGTGTTTTCGCATACGTTTAAGAAACAAAAAACATCTTACGAGAGGGGTAACGAATATTTGGCAAGACTTGCGGTGTTTTTTTTGTTTTTTTTCTCGAGAATCTCCTCGTGGCCCCCCAGCAGAGTTGCTCTCGACTATTATTCTTTTTTACAACATTCTTTTCGTCAACGGGGTTTGAGAATTTGAGAAATTTTGCGGGGGGGGGGTGCTGCTGCTGCTGCTGATTGCCCCTTGCTGGTGAGAGAGAAAAATAATGTATCGTGTTGTTTTCATGTGCACCGTCCACAGAATTATTTTTTATCGATGATTTGATGGGTGTCGACTAACGAACACAGCAGCGCTGGGTGGTAGTATCTGAAAAAGTGTGCGTCTGTCTGTTTTTGTTTGCTGTTGTTGCTGTTCTCTCTGCACAACAAGCAAGAATCTAATCTGAGTACGAGGCTTTTGACTTCTCGCCTACCACAGCCTTACGGCTTACGGCGAGACCCGCAAGCCGAGAGGGTGGCCCACAGACTGGAGAGTGATTGATTGATCAGCTGGCTAGCTTTGGCCATGCCACAGAATGAGACAGCATTTCAGTGAGCAACCGCAATCATCACAAGAAGTACGGACGTTTGGGGTGTCATCATCCAATTCGCCGGCCGCTTTTTGCATCTTACGTTCGATGGATGCCATCCCGGAAGGAAGTGAAATACATGCGCACTCGACTTTAGCGCGGTCGGTCGATGCTACATACGTGTAACGAGACGACACGGGCACTTAGGTAGATGACGCTGCACTGGTCAGCCAGCGAGCGCGGTCGACGCACGCGTGTTTGCGAATCGATTCAAGGCGGCACCAGAGGAGCAGAGAGGAGCAGAGAAAACTGCCTCTCTCTCTCTCTCTCTCTCTCTCTCTCTCTCTCTTTTCGACTAATGTATTGTAGCAGTTGGATGGATAAAAAAAAAAAAGATGAAGCATGCCACCAGAAAGAGGCGGAGAGACTGCCGATCTTCGCGATTGGTGGTGTAGACCCAAATTCTTGTGTCATCCTGGTTGGTGCGCGTCAACACAATGTTTTTGATATATACTGAAAGGTGTGGATTGGTGCCCATAACGGATGGGACGACAAAGAAAGAGAGAGAAAAACACGCTCAGCAAAGGCCGGTAATCTTATCTTGGGAAAAACGATCGCCAAAAAGAAGGAACCGTACAAAAGGACCTAAAAAAAAAAAACTCCGCTGGTTAGGCGACATGGGTGGGCCGTTGAATACGAACATGTTTCTATAATCTCGGATTCAATTGAGGTGCACAGCACGTGTACTATAAACTACCGTTACAAACAACATGCGTGTGCGGGTATGCGGCATACCATCACGCGTTCGTCGCGTGGAAAAAACAAACAAACCAAAGCCGAACAACCGCCGCCCTGCTTATACAGCAACAGCTAGCTGTAGCACATCGTGGGATATATCATTTCCACCAAGAAGGAAACAACTCGAGCAGACGGTTTACACGACCCCCACTTTCCCTTTCGCCTCCCGTTGCCTACCACAATGACACAAAACCTGCGACAGAGGGCTGCCATGGCGAACGTCAAGCTCATCTTAAGTCCTGAACGACTTTCACATTAGGAATATAGTCTAGTGAGATTTGTCTAGGAAGACAACCCCGCGCCATGTTCTTCCCCCATGCACAACGTGGACCAAAAAACAACTTCGTACATGTAGAATGTTAAAAACGGGTATACACAAGCAGTTTGTTTTTCCCTCGCTGCGTGGAAGAAGACTAAAAATCAAAGCCGACACGACAAAACAACAACAAAATGAGCTGTAATTAGATATATACCCCAAGAACATTTGTTAATCACCGTCGAGCGCCGCGGCGTCGGAAATCATCCCCCCATCACATCACGTGGTCTTGCTCTTCTTTCCGGCGTTCCGTCGGCCTCCCCCGTACGCGGGAGGTTTTCCGTTCTCAACGGCTTTCTTCTCGCTACCGTTGGCGGCAGCCTCCTCCTCCTCTTCGTTGTCGCTGCGAATGTCCTCCTCGACCCCGTGGAAGACGAACATGTACACCATACGCATGATAAGGTAGAACCTGCGGACCCCCCCCGCCCCCCCGCCCGCGGTCGCGCGCCATCATCATCGCGATCGGGTTGTTCCGAAGTGAAGCGGCGGACAGACGAAAAAACACACGTCGGCAAAAGCGATCGGTTTTGAGACCAACAGAAATGACTCGAGACCTTGCAACATGAAGAAACCTCCCACGTATCGTATGTAGAAAGCTAGCGACGGGTCGGACGGACGGAAACATCCACGAGCGCGCCGATCGATCACCATGTGTGTGGCCTGGACAATACTAGAAACGAACTATTTACTGCAGCTGTGTCACGGAGGAAATCTCAACCTCTTCTTGATCCCCGACGGTCAGATAGGGCGTTAAATCGTGTCCTACCCGACACACACGCAGTATTCTAAACGACCACGGCATGCGTTCACATGAGTACATCCCCCCCCCACCCCCCTCCTTCTCAGTGTTTCCCCCTTCAAAATGCTTCGTCCTCAGGAGGACACGTGGCCAATAGTCTAACCGCCAAGGCATGCATGCAAAAACACGAGCAACCTCCCTCCTCAGCCTCACCAGAACACGTGCAGCACGAGCAGCGTGCACAGCTGCCCGGTGAAGAAGTGCCTCATCACCTCGCTCAGGACGGCTGCCCGCCACACGCTCAGAACGAGGTACTTGGGGAAGATGTACAGCCTCGAGAACCCGAACACGCCGGCGAAGACGAAGAAAAAGCCATCGGCCGCCAGCTGTGTGTGTGTGTGTGTGTGGGTGTACACGCGCGTAATTTCATTGGCATCTATCATCGATCGCTCTTCAGTAACCGGCTGACCAATGAAAAGACGCCAGTCTCAATGCGGTTGAAAAACACTAAATGCTCCTCAAAGGCCATGACCTGGAACCCTGTGAGGGGGCGTCATGTGCGTGTGCTGTCACGACTTGAGTCGACCGTGGTGATAACGAGCTGACGAATGAAAAAAGACGTCAGTCTCAACGGATAAAAAAACGTGCATGTGATTCTGTATAAGCATCGACCGTGCTAACCGGCTGAACAATGCAAAAGACGCCGTGTGCGCGTGTGAGTGCTTATTTTTTTGTGAGTTTGTTGAAAGCAAGGAGGGAACGAGCGACTAACGAACATAGGAAACTAGGCAGGGTGAAGCGAAGAAAACGATAAAAAGAGAGCGACAGCGAGGTGGGGCAAGCGAGTGACAACAGCAACGGGTATGTAGCAGCATCGAACGGATAGGGCATACAACGGTACAGCAGCGCTCTGTTCGGTACACGCTATAATAGCTACACGGGTGCGCGGCATATAGACATACTTATGCCACTGTCCGCACGGTAACCCTGTTGCGTACGATACACCCACAACGCACAACGACGCAGAAACCATACACTCAAGTTGCCAAGTACCGTGTGGTTTAGCGTAAGCGTGAGACAAACGGACCCTGAGTACGGGCGTGTACGCATACTCACATGGCACCAGTGGTAGCGCTTTTGCGAGTAGTTGAAGAGCTTGGCGGTCTCCATGAAGATATCGGCCACGTCGTGGCAAAGCATGATCAGGGCGCCAATACGCACCAGACTTCTCGAACGGATGGCGGCCAAAAATACGGGAGGGTGCAAAGCACGAGAACATGTTTTTAGGCAGGGCACACGCGCGGGCAGTCAACCTCTTACACTCTAAACACGCTTTCTTTCTCGCCACAGGCGGCGCCAACAGAACGCGAAAAACAAAGGTGGCTTGTGGCATCTATGGCATCTACAACTTACGCGGTTTGATGCATGTGACTCTTGGGAATGATGAGCTGCGTGACACCGCGGTCATCGTACTGTGGTGTATTTTCTAACCCTGAACGAAAAACGCAGAACGCGATGTGTCTTACCGCCCCTCCGGTACACGCGCAGAAGAGAGACGCATCGCACGCCCGTAAGCCCTATCCTACAGAAAGCCACACGCCTCCACAGCATTATGTTTTTTTAAGTCGGTGGTGTGTGCCACCGTGGTGTGTGCCACCTTAAATCTCAAAATGACTTTCATTACTTGGTAGCATGTCCCACTAAATGGTCTGTGTTCCAAGTTGCAACATATGCATAGCCCGCGGGTAGGCTCGAAACGGGTCCGACCTTGACCACACACGGCTCTTACAAATGCCCGCCGCCGAATGTATGTTTCGGCCGCACCACGGCCGGGGGGGGCGGCAGCGTTACCCTCAGTTGAAAGCTACGGAAGAATATAAATGCCATGGAACGTTCCGTCTCCGTAGACGGTACCCCGGGAAATCCACAACGACTTTCTCCTATGTAGGCGGAGGCTAGGCTATGAATACCCCAAACCCAGTTGGTTGCCGTTGCAACCAGAAACGCCGCTATTTCCATTTCCTTCCGTACACCAAATCGATAGCCGGTAGAATATTCGAGCAGAGGGTGCGCAGTAACATGCGATGGTGGAGCAGAAACCAATAGCGTCAAAACCGGGCCGGAAAGAAGGATAGGGGAAGACAAGATACCTGAGCAGCCACGAGAAAGTGAGCAGGGAGATGGTGGCCACGTGGTGGACCAGCATCTGCGCGAAGTCAGACCGTCTCGTGTCCCAAAACTGCCCACACGTCAACAACGCACCGGCAGCAGCACCAAGTGTCGGACGTGGGAAAAAGAGCGAAAGAGAGGGAAATGGGATACGCGTAAGCGCGGGGAGTTAACCGCGGGGAATTGATCGACAAGCGCCTTTTTGCACCGTTTTGCCCTCGTGTGGAGGAGTCATACAACATTAACATTATGTGGAGAGTTTTTGAGGCACTATGCCGTGGGCATTTAGTAGAAATTATCGGCACCAGCGTTAGTAGTCTGCCGGTGGGTTGGTGTTGAAGAAGCGAGCGTCTACACCGAAAAGGTCTACAACTGTAGTTACTTTTGTAGGGCGCCATTACGCACATACAGAAGTCAAAAGAGAAAAACCAAAGCGCCGTACTACACGTTGGCACGCAGCCATCTCGGCGGAAAAGGTTACACTTGCGCACTCCCAATGCATAGCAAATACCGCAAGGCAGCGGTTCTCTGTGGGGACCGGTATGCGAAATCGTTTCATGCCCGTACTGTAGTCGCTCGAACAGAGACCTCCGCCTCTCGACAACGTCGGGGCATATCTCGCATGTCAAGCATACGCTTACCAGGCTCGAGACGCGCCTCTCTACAACCGTCCGTGCGTAGCATGTCAAAGAATACGCTGATCAGGCTCGAGTGTAACACAGTAGTACCAATCAAAAAATGGGTCAGAGAGTGTTGGGCAGTCGAATTGGAGCGTGGGCTGCATCCTACAAAAAACAGCGAAAGAAGCGGGCTTCGGCAGCTGGGGGGGGCACCCAGCAGAGCAACTCCTTTTTGTATCCCACCCCGACTCGGGGAGCTACAAGCTCGGACGCTGTCGCTAGGCGGGGCGCGCGCTTGTACTGAGCGCGAGGTGTGAGTTAGCCGTACATGCCAAGCCAAAAGAATTGGTGATTGTATGAAACAAGATAAAAAAATAAAATAAAATGTATGCGTAGTATAACCTGGAATATTATGAAGTGCCAGTACACCCCCATCGCCACGTGGTAGAACTGGTCCAGCCCATCCATGCCGTTCCCCAGCGGCCAGTCTTCCCTACGGAACGGCGGGAAAAAACAACAACGAACGAACGAACCAACGAAAAACATTAAACGGATGAAAAAAGAAGGAAGCTTGGGGGACGTTTTTTCTGGGTTGTAGCTGTGACCGGCTTACGGATTGTCGTCGTCCTCGTCCTCGTCCTCGCCATACCGTAAACGTTCTTCCTCGGCGTCTGTGTTTGGACGACTTCCCAGCGCTGACCACTCTTTCGTCTCATGTATCCTTTGGTGTGCTTGTGGCGGTATCCACGCGACGGGTCGTGTTGTCTACCGAAAGACCGTATCATACGTGGTACGGAAAGACCGTACAGTACGTGGTAGAGTACACGGTACGAGGAGTAGTGGGTCTGTCTCTTGTCTCTGTCTCTTCCTCTGTCTGCCCCCCCCCCCCCCCCTCTCTCTTACCATACGAGCTCTGGGTCCTTGAACCACGGCTTGCCGGAAGCAACCCGTAGCCCGTAGATAACCAGGGACATGTACACCACCAGCCGCCACGCCGCCTGGAGACAGAAAACAAACCGCGCACAAATAAAGGCTTCAATAAAAGGTACTTCGAGTCAAGGAAACCCACTCTTTGAGTCGCCTGCCTATTGTATTACCTTTACCGTCCAAACCACGGGGCCACCATGGAAGACACCAATAATTTCGACCATATGGATGGTGTGGGGAACGGGTGTCAGCCTGTCTCCATCAAGCCCCTCTTGGTCGCCTGACTAAATAGTGCAGTACACTCATCACCCCGTATTTTTCGAGGCCGAACAAGGTTTAACTGTTCTCCACTCCCCGCAGCACTTACACATGTTTCCCTCAGTAGCGAATGGTTTTGCTGCCATACTCTTTCATTCGCAAGGGGCTCGTGGGGTGGGGGGTCACGTGTTGTTGCTTCGCCTCCTTTAGCGATCCCCCATGTATGTCGCTCTCGAGAAAGCGAGGGCAGAGGGGGGATACGAGGCTTCAACCCAGCGTCGACGACGCTCGGAACGCCAACACGAGCGTACGGTCGATAAGTAACAGCTGGTTTCGGCAGAAGGCGTTTAGCGATCCACTCATGGAATAGCTCGAAGCTTAACATGGCAAGGGCAGAGTCGGCCAACACCCTCCTAAACAACAACACGTGCGGAGCAGCAATAGCAGCAGCAGCAGCAGCAGCAGCAGCAGCAGCAGCAGCGGCGGCGGCGGCGGGGGCGGCGGCGTCCGCTCTGCCTGTAGCTAGACACCGGACCAACAGGCCGCCCACGGCATGCTTCGCACGCATGTTCTGCAGCCTGTGCCTCATCACCCGCGCCTACCTACTCCTCCTACAGACGCACCTCCTTGAACTTGCCGACCTTCTTGTCTTCCAGGGCCGAGAGCCGTCGCCCCTTGGCGTAGGTCTTCACCTCCTCCTGGGAGAGACCGCTCGACGCCGACGCTTGCGCGACCTCTTCAGGCTACGTGACAGAAAAAACAACAGAAACGGGGGATGGGCATGGGGGTAACCGTGACCGACTGGCAGGGGGGGGGGGGGGGGAGGGCGTACTCGTGTTTCTCATGCCTTAGTTGTTAGACACGGAGGGGGAGGGGGAAGGAAGGAAGATGCGACTATCGCGTGTGGATTGAAAAAGATGAATATGTAAATATTGTAATATTGAACGAAAAAGACGGGTGCTGTTCAGTATCCGATTGACTGAAACAAGCACCATGACGTGCAAGTAAGGAGACGTGGCAACCCGTTCGCAGTTCGCGGAGATCGAGCCGAGCCAAGTAGCCTCCACACAAGGCATGCCAAAAATACGAACGATCGACGAAAAAAAAATGTCGCCAAAAATACATGAAAAACACCCGACGGGTACGTAGCTTAGAAGCGGCCGGCTAGATTGCCGCCCGCGCAGACAAGCTCGAACACAACAACAACCAGGGCTGACGCTCGTACGGCAAGAACCGTCGCACGGGTGTGGATTGAACGACCAAGGCTTACCGACAGTAGCTTGGACTTGGCACAGAGGTGGTCTAGGGCGGGTATGGCGCGGTTTTGCCTGCGAGGGAAGCCCAGGATACTCCTCGCCAGTGGCTTTTGTCACAGAAACAACACGGCGAACATGCATGCAGCGACGACCAAAGCAGAGCGACCAAACGCGAGGGGGTGGGGGGCGGGGGAAGAAGGGGGCGGTGTTCGTCAGCATTTGGGAGGGGGCTTTTGGACACCTTCTGCTGCCATCTGCTGCTGCTGCTGCTACCGCTGCTGCTGCTGTCTGTATGTTTGGTGACAAGATGCTCCTGGGAGCGGACGACACAGAAACAACATAAATCAACACAGGCCAGAAATAGGTGGTGTAGAGGATGGGGCGGGGTGTGTGCAGGGGGAAGGGGGACCAGATTGTCAAGAGAGAGGGCGAGGAGAGCTTGGTATGCTCCGTGAATTGACTGCTGACAGAAGAGAACGAGTCCTCCTCGCCGACAACGGCCAACAGGAAACACGCCGCAAAGGACGCACCCGGATACCGCTACTGCTAAGGCTGTTATTGCCAACTTCCTACAACCCTTCGAGTCCACACCCTTCCATGGGGTGTTGTTGTCCGACTACAGCAACGCCAGAGATTCGGCGTGCCACTGCTGAACACTGGAAGGCATTTGTATGCCGCTTTGGTGTACATGCCTCCTCCACGCACACCCCTTCCACCCTTCCAAGCCTGGAAGCGTGAAAAGTGGCTCACTACTACAACGCTGTCCTTCCCCCCGCCAAGACTTTCTCTGTCTCAAGTCCTGAGAGCGGAGGGAGTAACGGTGGTATTAAAAACGAAGACAACCAAAACAAGATGACTTCGATGGCCCAGCAGCAACCACGAAGAGATGGCAACAACGTCGTGTCGCAGTGTACGGCAGTAGTCTCAAAACGCGCTACAGGTTTGTGGCGCAAGTCACAAGGGGTGACGAATGAATGTGTCAACAAGGGGCGTGTCTACCGTACGCGGGCAAGCCCGCAGATGGGGGACGAAAAACTTGATTTCATAGTTTGTCAAGTTCCCAAAGGTTCGAAACAGTTTCCTTCGTGCCTTCGGTGCCTTCGGGGCGTGCGGTTCGCCTAATTTGCGCCAAGTCACGGGTGGCGATTGTAATTACGAGAAAGAGCGTGCATGTGCGCGAAGTAAAAGGTGGGGCGAACATTGAAACTTCCCAACGAACCATCTTGTTTCATTCCTTTCTTCCTTTCGGTGATTCGGTGGTTCCCGAATTGCTTGCTTGCCACAAATCAAGCCAACACCTACGCCGCACGTGTATCTTTTTTTTTTTTTTTCTTAATATGACACAACGAAACCTCTATCTTTTGAAAACTTGTTGGTGGAGTCTCGGGCACATGCTTGACACAGACTGGCTGTAGCCGTTGAGATTCTTCATCTTTGATCGGCAGTAGCTTATATATATCCCACCCGTCCTTGCCGCTACTGCTTTTGTACGCCTGCCCAACCAAGCACCAACTGCCAGTTAGTTGATGCCTACTGCCGAAATCCTCCCGCAGAACAATAGCGATGAGCTCGCCAACACAATGCCGGAAAATCAGGCTCGGCTGTCCCCATCCACACCACGCCAGGGGCCCAGGGTCTCACTCTACAACGCCTTCTCACCTTGAACACGATCATGTCCAGAGCGAGCCTAGCGCCAGTCAGGACCACGCCCATGGCCATGCCCAGCACGAGCGACGAGGGAGCGGGGAGCTTCCCCGCCTTTACGTACCCGGGCAGCAAATGCTGGTCGTCGAACATGAAAGAGTAGAAACACATGCCGACAGGAAGCTCCCCAGACCCCGACCCTTCTGCCGAGCCCACCATGATTCCTCACGCTTGGTGCTGCTGCACTGCTGCGCCGCCGTACGTGGTCTTACATCTACACCCCATGGCCAGCGGAACAGACTTCCTCTTTCATTTTCTTTTTTTTTCCGCCGCATGTGAGACATGCTTTACGAACCTTTTGAAACCCCCCGCTGCGGAGAAAATCCACCGACGGGCCGCAGCACTGCAGCACGCACCCCCCGACACACCGCGCCCGCGACCGCGCTGCAGCACAGCACACCCCTCACTGCACCACAGGACGTACCACAGACACACGGCATCGCACCAGAGAGAGGGGGGGCAAAGACAGCACTGTTGCCGCTGCAACACAGCCCATTAACAGCACCGAGCGGGCAAGAGTGCTGCTACCCAGCAGTACACACAGACACACCACGCGAGAGACAGGTGTATGGAGGGGACAACAAGCACAGCGACACGGCCCCGGCAGTATCGATGCACCATGTGGTATGCCCGTATATCTCCCCTCCACGTAGTCGCTGGTTTCATCTCTTCTTGGAGCGTGCGGGCTACCCTGGGAGGGTGAGCATTCTGTGGGCCGGCTCCGTCCCTGCGAAGCGACCCAAAGGCTTGATTGCTAGACTACAGGAGGAACAGACGCAAGGACTGGAGAACCCTTTCCGTGCTGCCGAGCCTGGCGCCAGCAGCTGCGATCAACGTGCTTCCAGGAGAGCTGCGATCAACGTGCTTCCAGGAGCTAGTGGGTATCATGGTGGTCTGCTGCTGTGCACCTATGCCATCTGGTCGAGGACTGCATGCCGGCGCTACTTGTGTGCATCTTGGCCCAGGGATGTGCCTTTGCTATCGCGCAGCAGTCTGCGTCAACACCGGGCTACATCCCGACGCTGTTAACGTTGCTATACCCACGGATATAACTGCTGTTGTCGTGGAAGCAACGCCATCACCCGTCCCCATGCCGAACTCCTACACCGAGCTTGGTTCTAAGCGAGGGTGTCCAATTTGCAGCACCGCCGAGGTGACAGCGTTGAAGACAGGGCCGAACGGGAAGACCGCCGCAACTGAAAACGCGACGAGCAACTCGGGGAACATCACCAGCATGTTTCTCGCTGTCCCGCGCTACCACCCCGTACCAATGTTCTACCTCAGCGGCGGGATGAAACATACAGCTGCAGCCGATGTCGTGAGGGCAGTCCGAGCAGTAGCATACGGTCGTGGGTCTACGAGGGCAACAGCAGGAACACCGCAACTGATACCGACTTCGTCTCGTCTGGAAGCAGCGGCGGAGCCGGCGGCGGCGACGACGGCGGCGGCGGCGGCAGTGGTGGCGACGGCGGTACCAGCAGGATGTCAACGAGGCTCCGATCCATCGACAAGATCGAGGGGGCGGTTGAATCAAGCGGGAAGCACGAGAACGGGAGAGCCGCGCGGATCTGTGAATCCCTTAGGATGACGGACGGACATTGCTTCCTCTGCCGTCGCTACAAAGGCCGGCGGTAAGCAAGAGTACAGTAGACTCGGGGTGGTAACGAAAGAGGGTGTTGTAGGATTTGAAAATTTTCCGCGGTGCAATCTGTCTGTAGTCCATACAGTGAGTGCTGCTGCTGTGTAGGTTTTGAGCAGGAACTTCTTGACAACAACACCATGATGAGACGATCGCCCGTTGTTGGTCGACAGCACCTATTATAGGTCCTTGACACTATCCGCAGAAGTAGAGCTTTGAGCAGTTTTTCCTGACTCTGTTACGGGTGAACCATCGGTGGAGTCCTTGGGGGTGTTCGTGCAGGTGCCAGGATAAATACATATAGGACGACATGGAGTACTTTCCTGTCCGCAGCGTGACGAGCGTGGGCAGCCGGATGGGTGGAACGCCGAGGAACTACGAGAAGATGTTTGCTATATGATCGGGTTCAGGTATGCCTACCCACATAGCCGTTGGACATTTGTGTTTGGAACGCGCCCAACTCTTCTCTTGACGTGTGTACGGCTGCAGGTTGCGGGAAATCGGAATTGCAAATGCCCCGACATACATACAATCCACGTTGAATCGTCTATCTTGGTAGGATGATGGGTGCGCGTGGACAAGTGAAGGTTTTCTGCATCGTCGACCTCAGTTGATGGACGACCGTCTGCTGGCGAGCGATGATTCTTACACCTAGTACGCCAAAGTCGGCTGCCTTCAGGGCTGGATGGGACGCATGCACACGGGATGCTTCAGATCGATACGACCAGTTGGGCTAGACCTTGCTGGTGGCATACGAGTATCGCATTGCCAAGCAATACAAGATCAAGAATCAAATCAACTAGTGCAGAATTATGTCTTGCTTGATTAGTATCGTCGATATTGTCTCACCTACAACGCCCACCATATGTCCCTCCTCGGTCTATTCCGCGTTCTTAATTTTTTTTTCGATTTTTCGAAGGCCATGACAACTGCATCGGTTCACGACCGGAAGAACGACCTCAAAATGACGTTTGTCTATCGCTTTTCCAGCCACGTCTTCGAATCCCAGGAATCCTTTTCATGTGTACGAAATGACGTTGGGTTGCACCGGTTGCCTGTCGTGAGGTTGAACACATGTTTGCATTTCTTGTGAAGTTTCATACCGATTGTGTTGCACATACATGCAAGCCTGGCATGCTTTCTTTGCCGCCAGTAAACCTGCTCCCCTATGTCGTTACACGGTTCTTGTTGCAGGCGAATCTCGTGAGAGATGGAGTAGGGACGCGGCAATCTGCTAGCGATTTCAGCGCCAATCTGTTTAGGCTCGCCGATCGGGTGGGGAGATCCACCAGCACTAGCGGGCAGTGACGTGGAACGAGCACTGTAATTGATGGAGTCTGGCCCGGCAGAGTGGGAAGCAATTATCGGAAATCTCCAAACACCTGCAGGTGTACTTGGAAATATAGAGACAACGCGGCATCGTTACGAACACGACTTTCCTATTTGTCAACCGCAGTCTGAGTTGCGATTCAGTGTGCGGGAGCCTCGAGGGGGCGTGGGGTTCGCTAAAAGTCAGTAGCGTAATAACCCCGGCTGTTCCACGAGGTCGTTCCAGGGCAGGGGAGGGCGCTTGTGACGGACGGGGTTGTGCACTTGAAAATGTAAACGGTGATGGAGATATGGTCGATATTGGGCGGCGGAGACACAGAGCTTAGTCCCGAACCAAGGAGAAAGAGGTGAAGGGCGCACCTCGAGCCCCCCGCAGAAGCACAATACGCGCGGCTACCGCAGGCAGCAAGGCGGGAAGGCGGGGGCGCCATCTCCCCTGTGAGAGAAGGGGCAGTGTTTCCCTTGCAAGATACCGGTCGAAGGGTACCGGTATGACGATTGAAGGACAGGAAAACTCTCAAGTCTGGTGTGGTTGTGTGACAAATGCACAACACGATGACCCCTCATGTTCCTTGAAATCGGGGGCGGCAGTAGTCAGTCACGTGTGTACATCCGTTTTGGTAAGTCGCGTCTACTTGGCTTTTTTCATCAAGTGCTTCTGTGCTATAGTTTGTTGGATGAGTAGAGGTCTTCCTCTATGAGAAACACTTCATCGCCACTATTAGTAATTGGATGTTGTGCGCTACACTGCATGCAAATGTGATGCATTATTTGCGTTCAGCTGCTTGATGGTGCAGCTGCTGCCGACCTATATATACTACTCCATATTTGAAACTGAAAATATTGTCAAGAAAAGGAACACAATCGCAGAATTCCGACGCAAAAAACCGCGATTCAATCGAGCATCATCTCGAAGAGCATGGAAGGCAAACATGACAAGCACACACCACAAAAAAAAACACCTAGGGAATACATGGTATGCCTCCTAAATTGTTTTTCGCGCATCATCCCTATCCATGAGATCTGAGCCACATGACGACCGAGTCGGGGGCTAATTTGGCCGATCTTGTGGGCCAGGGGCAGTGTTAGGGTGAAGGGTCAGGCTTGAATCGTGTGTGTTCGGCGGGAACTACATACCTGGATATCCAACCTGCTGAGTGCTAGACTGTAGACTAAATCTACGATCGCTTCTTCATTCGTGAGCCTGCTCGACGAATGGACGAACTGGCGCATGTTGCAGCTCTCTTTCTCCCTCCTCTGCAGCACAACTGAGAAAGCTCCCGATGCCAATGACGTCCCTACAGCCAGTCATGACCCCGGAACTGCCGGAACAGACTGCACGAGACGATCATCGATGGTCCCACCGCCGCAATAACAACCTGGAGATGTCGTTCTACAGTAGGAAGGTGGCGGTTGGCGGGGCTCCTCTCATCCTTCTCAGTACCAGCTGGAGAGACTACGCTAACCCTTCGTTAGAATCCTGCTGGCTAGGGAACCCGACGTCTCGCATGGACGACGTGATTTGACTGTTTTGCAGAAGTAGTCGTGCATACCATGGTATTCAGCTAGCTACGAACATCAACAGTAGTTGCTCCCAGTGGAAGCTTATGAAGGCCGGGGTGTGGGCGTTTTTCTCGCACTCGAGTGGCTCAGCACGTCCTGTTGCCGTCAAAGCCTGGACTCTTGTTGCTACGTCGCCGGTGGCTTCGGATTGTACGTATCAAAATTGCCCTGCTCTGCAGAGCTGCCTCCAATCCGAGGCCCGGTTTCCTTTGATCCTTTCGGAAACGGATTGGATTTCTCGTGTGACGGTGTGACGAAACGACGAAAAATAAATCCTAACGGGAAAAAATTAAATAGTGGCTTTGGATTGTATGTATCATTGGTCGTCAAACATCTTCTTTCTCCCGCCGGCACCCACGCAATTACATCTCCACAGCAGCCGGGCTAACTTTACCCCTAGCTACCCTGCAACTAATAGTAGTCCACTACCGTAGCTCGAGCGCTTCGACAGCACCACCCCATGCACACCCACGGCAACACCATAGCGAAATAGCCACGGTCGAGGTTGCACTCAACGTTGGCCGCGTGCTATTATATAGACTATTCCTCGAGTTTCTGCCCTGAACCACACACCACCACCACAGAGCGCAAGCCTAGATAGACATGGATGCACACCAACCACCAACTACCAAAAAACCGGACACACGCTCTATGTCGTTTGTGATTTACGCTTGGAAAGCCTCATGAACCACCTACGATCCGTGTGTGGGTGAGCACACCCATCGTGCACCTTCCCGGCTAAGTGAAATGGTCCAGTTCCGAACCACCTAGCAAAAAAGGAAGTGAGTTGTTTGGGTAGGTTGGAGCGCAACAATTGCACTCGACGATCACACCCAATCGTGAAAAGTACAGGGCTACCTACGTGTACCACGTTATTACCACCCTGCTACACAGATCAACACGAAAGAGGGAATTGACAAGCATCTCCAGCCCCCACGCATCGACTTGTCGCCTCAATGAACAAAAACTTCTTTACGAACGCCTTGGCCCGCAAGGCACGCTCCCCCCCACCCACCCACCCCCGTTCTTGCCGGTGGTTGAACCAACACCTAGGTTACGTCCAAGGCAGCAGCAGCTCATGCAACAACAGCAATAGTAATGCTGAGCAGTGCCCCGCCGCGCCTCCCGCTGTTGCCAAAATAAAACCTTCACACAGACCATTCGAGATCCCAGCAACACTACAAAAGGGGACGCAGGGAGCTGTCTCCTCAAACTCGTTGCTCGGCGGTTCGCGTGCGCGAGCAACAAGCTGCCCCGTGCTGGTGGGGGAGGGGGGGGGGGGTTGAAAGTGAATTCCTTATCGTCAACCACCTTCAAAGGTTAGGTCAAGGAAGATCGGCCTACAATATACCAGTTGGGTTTGGCGCTCCTAAGCCCCCTCTCTGACGAAGCTAAGCCTCCGCAGTCAAGCGCTTGGGAACAATCGAAGTACGACCGCAGTGCAAAAACGCTTGCACTGCTCCAACTCTCACCGAAGCGCGAAAGACATGAATAACACGGCCGGGGGGGGGGGGGTTCATAGCTAGCGCGAAGGTGTGAGCAAAACCAAAATCTTGCACTTTAAATTTACTGAGTATCGTTTTCCTGAGTAATGTCATATGTACGCACACACTCGAGTACTGTCAAGGTGGGGGAGTAGTAGGTGCGCACGATGCCACCCGGTCAAGCTGCCAGGCGCCAACAAGCAATATGGGAAGATGCAGGGGCATCCCGTCAACGCGCGATGATCGTCAAGCACCACGAAGAGCCAGAGGGACCCCGTGGGCAACAACAACAACAACAACAACAACGTACGGGAGAGAAGCGGCGCGGGGGGGGCGGGTTGAACATTCGCTTCTAAAAAATTTGTCCTCCAAGTCGCCACCTTCGAAGCCGGCGACTCGTTCGAAGCCGGCGAGATGCCCAAACCAAGAGTCGATTTCACCTCGGGGACTTCTGCCCAACAATAGTATCGGTCGCACTCTCACCCGTTACCCACCAAGAAGCACAAACCCTACAATATGCATGCGAACGACTAGAAGCATACGCTCTGGGAAAAAACAGAAAAAACTGCCTCCCGTCGCCAACATCAAAACAACAACGAGTACCAACAAAGGGGGGTGTTATCAATTGGTACAGTACAAAGCTCGGGACCCTGGTAAAAAAACAACTCGCATTCGACGCATCGTGGCGGGAACGGCGGTGTGCGAGCGCACCACGCGAAAATCACGTCAGGACGGCCGTGAACGGACTGATTCGACAACGTCTTTGCAACCGAGCGGAGCCACGCAATCACACTTGCGTGAGACCCAACCACACTTGCGTGAGACCCACCACACTTGCAGATGGCGACGGCGTGGGACACGCCACCACCGTGAGAAACGTTCTGATTTCGAGGGAACCCCTTTTTTGCTTGGAACAACAACGACAAAAGCAGCGGTGGCACGGAAAAAAAAAAAACTGCCACTCGCCGAAATCTCACCGTCTGGACATGATCGGGGTGCTAATTAGAGACGGCGGACGGAAGGCGTGCCCCTTGGAGACTGACGGAGTTCCAACGCCAGGCGTTTTTTTCTATCGGGGTCCGTCACGAGAGTCTTGCTCGGTATCACGAGCGACGAGGTAAGGCCGCACTCCGGGCACGCGTGGTTGTCGCTCTGGACAAAACGGCGAAGGAAGGCGGCCCGAGTGGCGGAAAGAGAAAAAAAAAGGCGAAAATACGAAGAAAAAAAGCAAAAAAAAAGAAGAGAGTGATGAATGAATTTTTCGATGTACTCGCCGCGTCGGAACGCGAATACTCCCCGTAGCGCTACCCTTGAGGGCGGTACACGTGCCATGTCATGCCATGCCATACGATATTGGGCTGTCAAGCACCCCCGCCCTGCACAACGTAAAAGTATGCCGAGCAAGGAACACCGTCTCGGGCCGGCTGAGGCTGGTACAAAAACTCCGATCGCTCAACAACAATCAGGCCGAGAATCGCGGAACGACCCGTCTCAATTCCAGCCTGTTGGGCACCGACAAGTTGCGTGCCGTGGAGGGAGGGATCAATCGGGCTTGGACAAAAACCCCGCAGCAGTGTGCGTGCTATCACGATGTCAAATATGATCGCCGATCTCAATGGAGTCACTAGCTAAGAACCAATAGAACGCACATCTACTGCTGTACTACTGCTGTACCTCACGCATATCGTTTTCCAGCAGACAGCGAGAACAACATCACCGTTCCGTGCAACACGATGCTACCCAGGCGGACAAAACGACTGGACGGCAGAATCGATTGACTCGTAAAAAAAGTACTCCGCAAACGGTTTTGTAATGTTGTACTGCTGCGTAGTAGCGCAACGGAAAATAAAAAAAACAAGAAGATAGTATCATTCATGCCCTGATGTACAACTGACTGAGATAACACACGTGCCCAACACAATCATCGGTCCCAGTGCAGCAGAATAATCATCACTTCAATCCTCGGACAAGGGCACACCCCTGCTCAAAGACGTGGATTGAGGGCCAGAAAGGGGCGAGGATAGGGGAAACGACAACTAACTGTGTACCTTGTCTCGCCACTCCCGAATGCAGCCGAGGCAGTAGACGTGCCTGCAGCTCACGAGGATGCCGAAGACCCTGTCCTTCACCTTCCCAAGCTTTCGCACCTTTTCGAGGCAGATGCCGCACTCCGCGCTTCGAGACTGCCCAGTCGTCATCCATCCGACAGAGACGGGGGGGGCGGGGGCGGGGGGCGTTGAACGACAGCCCAACACCGCGGTAGCAACATAATATCGTTCGTGATGGACCAAGCATAGCCGTAGTTGAGTTCAAAAACTCTCTATATATATAAACCAGAACGTTCACATAGAAAGGTTCGCCTTCCGGTTGACTTAACAATGTATCAGGAAGTGAAACCGATGCCGATGTGCAAACACGCAACGCCTCCGACGATGTTCACCCTTCCAACCATGAGTGCCTCAAAACAGGATCAAAACCTCCCGCGACGTCGATCGAACGTGTCGAGCACCCGCACCGATTGACGCGATTCATTTACCTGAATCTTCTCCGCCTCGTCGAGGGCCGCTTCCCTAGCGGCCACCTCGTCCTCGCCGAAGCCCTCGCTCTCGTGGGATGATGGCTCGCTCGCCACGCCCCTCTGCCGCACGACAAGACACAACATCCAACGCCAACGATGAACGGTGGGTCGATGACGGGCGGTTCGTGGCTACGGGAGGCAAAAACTTTCATGGTTGGCCACACCTCTTATGTCGGGCTAACTTGCAGATCCACGCCGCCGCCGAGAGAGCCGGTCAGGCTGTCACACATTTTCGTGATCCGCCGCATGTTTATTTGTACGGTCTGCTCGACAATGGCTTCCTCGTGCCCCAGAAGCAAGCCAGTTCAGCTGCGGTAGCAACAGCGGCAGTCATGTTGCGGCCTCGCAACTCTTCGCTTCATGTGTATGTGCCTCAATTTTGTTGTCACGGCCAAAGTAAACACTCCATCCTTACGCTTCACGGCCTAACCTTGCCGTGTATTGTCGCCTTCTTGTACCCAAAACCTTACCGTCTGTTATCTATTGCTTGCCCCCAACCGAACGTCTCTCCACATCACTGCTGCGAAAGCTGGTTAATCGTGAACGGGTCGGAGCGTGGCCACTATACCTTTTCCTTCCTCCCCGCAGAGCCGCCGCCGCCATGGCTTCCCCGCGCCCCCCCTCCTGCTGCCGGCGTTTCCTCGACGGCATCGTGGGAGAACCTGCAGCGGTCCCCGTACCTACACCGCCCGCGAGCGAAGAACACGCACGCCTGCTTCGCCTGCTTACCCTTCCCGTCGCTTTCGCCACTATCACTTCCTCCGGCGGGCTGCGTCCGACGCTGGTCCAACGGGGCGGCGGCGCCGGGCGCGGGAGCGGAGGTGTCCGCGGCGGCGGCGGCGGCGGCTGCTCGAGCGGTGTTTCTATCTCTCTTGTCGGCCGCGTTCGCAGCCAACTTACGCCGGGCCGGCGCGATGGGTTCTTCGGCGTCATTGTCGTTCTCCTCGCTACTGCTTCCGCTCTCGGTGATGGCGGTGCTGGCGGGGCTCGCGGTGCCGCCACCGGCGTCCATCGGGACATCCTCTGCATAAAACGCGTAACGTGGAATGTAGGTGGGGGTATGGGGCGTTGTCGGTGAGCCGGGGGGGGGGGGTCGCCGTGCAGCATCCGTCGATACTGCCTGCTGCCAAGAATTACGCACGTGGCTCCGTTGTTGGTGGCAGAGGAGGGGGCGGGGGGGGCTACACGGGTGCAGCAAGACTATTCCCGTGATGATTCGCAGCCCGCGGAACTGTAACAACGCATCATAGTAACCACAGCTTCGTACTCAACAGCGCGGTTCGGTAAACATGCTCTACTTCCTTCCCGGAAAAGAAATACCGAAGCCACGTAACCTACCGTAACTAAGAGGCGGAGAGATCGCACCCTCCCCCTAGAGCGACTTTCAAAGGTCGATTGCACCACAACCAATGGGGGTGTTGAAAGAGCCCGATACCTTTACGGAACGCCCTCCACGAGATTTTTCAAAAACCACTACAGTATTGTTTTAGATTTTTCAAAAACGCTCTTGGTTGTGGAGCAATCGAGATTTGAAATTTGGTCTAGGGGGGGGGGTGCCGTCTCTCCGTCTCTTTTGCGGTACTAAAGAGGGAGATAACTGCGGTAGTCTACCACCCAAATCGCGAAACCACTCCGTCGCTTCCGGCTCCGCAAAGAAAAACAAGAGGAGGTCCGAGAGCACAGCAGCGTCATACTAGACTGCGCAACCACAAACACGAGCATGTACCGCTTGTTCGTTCGCCGAAGAAGCACTCACTGGTGACGATGTCGGTCCACGACCGCTGCAGTCTCCTGGCCACCTCGTCGCCACCGCTGCTACCACCACTCCTTTTCGACGAGGAACACCCGGCATAACCCCGCTTCACGCAAACGCCTTCCGGCCTCACCCGCGAGTCTCCAGCAACCGCAGCGGCGGGGGCGGAGGAGGGCTTACGGCCGGGCGAAGGGCAAGGACGAGCCGGGCGTTTCGCGGTGGTCACAGTCCGTCCTCTGTCCTCGTCCCCCTCTGCGCAGCCACCGTTGGGGGTGGCCTTGCCGCTGCTGCTGCGAGGGCGGCGGCCCGTTTCGTCTCCATCGCCCGCGGCGGCAGGGGAGGAGTCGTCTGAGCCGGTGGCGGAGTGAAGGAAACGGCAGCTGGCGCCCCTGACGCATTTGCCTGCGACGGCGTGCGGTTCACGTCGTTTCGGACGGGCGGGGGATGTGGATACACAACGGTAGCCGTTGTTGGTAATGTGGGGTGGGAAGGGGGCGACGCGGGTGAGGTGGAAGCGTGTGGCGGGTGTAGGGGGGTTAAAAAAAAAGAACTTACTTCGACACCTCTATCGGCTCGAACACTGCTGTGAATTAGACACGGTGTATGCATGGTTGGCCGGCTCTCGGAGCCCCGTACCTATTTAATTGGTACGAAGGTCTTACCTTTCGCGAAGAACCTGCACGGTTCCTTGGAGCTCGTCGAAGCCGTCGGTCTCGCTTGTCTTGGCGTTTGTGTCTCGCCAGCGGCACCATCCGCTCTTAGCTCACGGCTGTCTGAGGTGCCGTGGGTGAAGCGGCAGCTGGCTCCGTATCTGCAAGACCCCTGTACGACAAATGCGTTGCACACGTTGTACGAACGGCGCCGCGCCAATGAAGGTGTTGTATGTGGTCAAGTACGTAATGTGCGCACGAAAGGCAGCAATACCTTGCATACCATGATACCGTACGTGCACGGCAAATAATACTCTGCAAGTTCGACGATTCATCGAACAACCTGGTTCCTCTCCTTTGATGAAGTCGATCTTTCATCTTTTTGGCTCGCAGATGGTTCGATCTGAAATGTATCGCGTTAAGAACGTAAACGTGAAATCGCGCTGCTCAAGGCTTGTGTGCTTTTGCGAAGGGCTAGAATACGAGTGACAGGCTTGCAACTTGACAGACAAGATGAACAAGTTGTTGATACATAAAATCCGTTGTGTGATTTTGTTCGCAGAGATGATGAGCAGGCCTGTAGCGTGAGCGTTGGAAGCGTTCCGGATGCCATTTTGCTCGAGCTCCGTACCATCAGTGGAGTCCCACTACTGCTGTTCACCGCATGCGAGCGCCTCAGGTCGTGACTACAAATGACGCCGCTGGTTCACGCAGGGAAGGTCGGTCAGTGATCTGCGGTGGCCCTGGATAGACTCGGAAAAGTGTAGAGCGTCCTTGGATGATTTTCGCCTCTGCCCGTTGCACACAAACTGCGTTGGGCAATGTGAATTGTAGCCTGGTAATCATCTAACTCGAACGTGGATTGCGGTTGCGAAACTGCATAGCCCAGTGTGGGCTGCTGGTCTCATCCTGCTGTGGGCGTGGGATGATCACTGGTTGCACCTCCCCGGCTGGCGGTGGAGCGGCGGTTTTCGTTGCGTGCCCTCGAAAGGGGCGTGCGTTTTTGTCAACTCAAAAACTAGAAAGTTGAGCCAGACGCCACGTAGGCGCCAAGCGGAATAAAGACAGCCAATTGGCGGACGCCGCCCGCGTAAACATCTGTCCCGTCACAATTTTCGTTCGCCCGTGCGATGCTCGCACAAACTCCACAGGGGTGTCGGATCATCTCGTTCCATTTCCACAAAACGGCCCCAGGCGAAATCCGGCTCCCATATTCAATCCCGTGATGTTTGCCCAAAGCCAAAAAGTCAACACTTTTATTATAGAAGCCGAAATCAAACCATTAGACTGGTCAACAGACTACTCAGCGCCGACTAGTCTAAATAATGGTTTGATTTCGGCTTCTACACGTAAACACGTCGCGCCGCGAAGGTTGTGCCAGCTGGGCTCTGCGCAAAAGTAGGCACATTGTGCCGTTTGGACGCAACGATGAAGCGGGGCAAGCCTTGCACACTTGCACACCACCGTCACGGCCACCGTGCGCTCACAAGAGGCTACCATGCGTGCTGGTGCCGATGGGGTGGGTGCTACAGCTGCAGGGAAGTAGGCAACAAGTACTTGACACCTCATTAAAATATTCATACGTATTTAGATGGAGAGCCGGTCGCCCCGGTGGTCTAGTTGGTGTCCTCGAAACCTTGTAGAGGTCAGGTCAGGGATTCGAATCCCGGCGTAAGCGAGCTTTTCTTAAAAAGCGAGTTTTTCTCTCGCTTCCGCTCCTGGCCGAGTGGATAGCGCTAGTTCTTGTGTGCACAGAGGGAAGAGAGTGCTGAACTCTTCTCGCGTTAAAAATCGAAGGCAGCGTACAGCAGGAGGGGAGGGGAGAGAGGAGTCCTTCTGTGTGACCACGGGTTGGAGTAAAAGGCACTACAGGTAGTGCTGTGAGCGCTGACTTGAAGTGAAGACCAAAAAAAAAAAATGGTGCACACAAGGCCGTGTGCGAGTGTCGCAAGAGGCTGCTGCTGTTGTACCATACGATATGTGTGGGATAACACACGTGTCATGTACTTGTGCGTACGAAATACGTTGCCCTACACACTGATGTACAGGAAGGTAGGCCAGAGAGCGCCACTTTCTTGAACGCTGGAGACCACATCAACATGGCGACTCAATAAAGAACGCATCGGCAGAGAGAACAAACGGGTTCTCTTCGCTCGTTGGGTCTCTCCGTTCTCCGTTCTCTGTGCAGTACATAGTTCTCTATCATAACTCACATAAAACGCGGGAAAACAATGATCAAGACCCTTAGAGAAACTACATGGTCGTAAGAGTCCATACGACGTCCGACGGTACGCTGCGACTACACAGCTGTGCTCGCGAACACGGTGTTGTTGTCTGCCCTTCATGACGCTCTCCCTCTTATATTTCCTGGACGCATGTTTGGTCTTCAGGTTTTACCCGCACATGGCACACCATACCTTCTCGTAGAAAGTACAAAGAGTCCGACTCTGTCGTCCCGAAGAAGGGGCCGCCATGGGGGCGTTGTCTCTCCCTATGGTTTGGTTTGCGGCCGGGCTCAAGCAGCTGGCCTGGTTGTGTGGTGGGGCCCAAGACTGAAAAAAAAAACGCGGTGAAACAAGTAAAGTTCGCGACCCCCCTTCTGCTGGCTCTCTCCCACATCGCCACCTGTCCACCTCTGTTTGCCCACAACAGAGAGAGTGGACTGCTGTGCGCGCGCTCGAAGGAAACAAGAGGAATCGACGGCTGCTGCAAGGACCGTGCTGCGCACGGGTTCCTCCACGCGATTCGGGCGCGCTCTGCGATTTGCGGCTTGGTGGAGAGCGCGCTTGTTTTGCGCGGATCCAAACTGTCATGAGCCCGAGATCCAGCGCGAAGTCCAGGCGGCAACACAGGGCCAAAGGGAACACGGAAAGGGACACGGGGGAGGTGCCGGGCGAAGCGCCCCCTCCTCCGGCGAATGAGGCATCTTGCTCGTCAACTTGGGCCTGGGTCTGGAAACGCCGTGCGATCTGCACCGTCGCGGCGGTCGCATTTGTTGGAGCATGTGCTGGTGAGTTTGGTTGTGGGCCGTGGCGGAGGTGTAAATATAGATTGCACCGCACTCGTGGACCTGCACAGATCACGGACGCCGTGGCCCGAGGCATATTTGATCGGTGTGTAGCGCCAGAGGTTGGATGCCTCGACGTGCTGTGGAGCGTGCCAGACCTTGCCGTTGCGGAAGTAATCCTAGCGCCCACATATGTGAAGGTTGCACTCCCGCCCCCCCTCTTTTTACCCGTTGTTGTTGTACCCGTTGTTGGGAGCGTTGAGAAAAACAGGACAGGCATCTCTCTGAGAAAAACAAGATACGGCCGTAGACGGTCGTAGACGGCATCATAGCTACCACATATCTGTGCTCTATCCCCCTCTATCGTGCACTACTCTCCTCTGCTCGTACCTGGCACCCCGTGTCTCGCACATGACCGAAGAAGCACCAGAGAGATAGCGTACCTGCACAGACCTGGTACTTGCGCCTTAAAGTCACAACTCCTGGGAAACAAGACCCGTGGTGAAGCACAAAAGAAAAAAGGGTCAACCGGCTGGGACAGCAGGCCCCATCCAACCTCCAGTACAAAGCCAAGATTTAATGACCGGAAACCCCGCCGGAGAGTACCGCGCAGGAGAATACAAAACTAATACGGGGAACTACCGCAGAAGTCGTAGCTTTTCTCACCTACCGAGTCTTACATTGGTCTGGATATACCCTGTGCCTTGCACCCCGTTTCATCCAACCTCGTCGTCGATCATGTCGCATGTTTTAGTTCGCTTTGGAAAGGTTCACCAACGTGTGGGCGAATCACAGCACCAGCAGTGCCGAGAAGTATAGTCCCAACTGCTGTGCTGTGCCCCGTCTCGCATACTTCAACCACTACAATTTGCTCGATTTGGAAGAAGGAACAAGATGGCACCAACGGCCGTACAAAATCACTTCGTGCTAACTAGACAGAGCCCCCCCCCCCTACACACACACGCGCACACAACAGGCCTGTTCAGCATCATGCAGAGACTAGGCCGGACTGTAGACGAGGGCTCGTGCATCGCTCCGTGTGGTTTCGACTCTGGCGACGACGACGCGAAGACAGACTTCAGCGCCACGCTGGCCGAGGAAGAGGGAGAATTTCCGGTAGACGAATCAACGACAACGTGTAGCACCATCGGCACGGAGTACTGGCACACTTCTAGAGACGAGCAAGCTGGCCAACCACCAGTGGGAGAGGTCGAGGAAAGCACATCATCATCAGCTGTGGAGCTACAAATCGCCGAGCCGTCGAGCCGAGGGCACCAACCTGTGGAAGCGGTGATGCTACCGCGGGGAGGTAGAAACGGCACAGGTTTGTGCTCGGCGTCATTCCTGGATGTTCCTCCCTCGACACATGAACTGCTCGACACGACCGCAGCTTCTTGGCTTTCTGCAGGCATCCTGGGAAAGCCAACAGTAGGAGTCGGAGCGTGCAACCATGAGGCGCTCCTTGAAGTCCCGCTGTCCCGTCCGGTCAAGGGCGCACCTGCTAGCGACGTTCACGTTCTGGACGCTGGAGCGGCAGGGAAGTCGCTATCGCTGTCGCTACTGCACGAACCCGGACATGAGACGCAACCGTTGTGTAAAACGCATAGTTTTTGGTGGTCGCTCCAAGCATCCCCACTCCTCGAGGCGCCAATGCTGGACACCACCACCACGGCCGGACCAACAACCTCCCTCTGGGTAGAGCCCGAGAAGGAGGTGCCTCCTGATGAGCTACCACTTTGTCCGACGGCTCGTCCTCCGGCGATCTTCAGTCAAGCGAGGACTGAGTCAACGTGTGCCTATGACCCAGCTGGGGGAGAAGCACCGCCGTTGGTTAGGTTTGGGGATGGCGGCCAGTGTCTACCGAGCGACGGCAGAGTGTGTCCTGCAGTATCGTGGGAGAGAATGATCGCGGAGCCCGGTCCTGAGGATCAAGACGTCACACCCTTGCCATCCTTTCGCAAGGACGGGTCAACGGTGACCGCTGCGGCGAAAATGGACTTGGGGTTAGAAACATGCTCAATCCGCCCTGCAGCCTTAACCCTAGGGGCGTTGTGCATGGCTGACGCCAAAGCTCCGAAGGTAGCGGGAGCGTCGTCTCAACCCGAATCGGGAGACGATTTCGTTGCAGCGATCACGAGGGAAACTGCTGGCGAAGCAGCGCTCTGCATGTCTCCGCCTGCCCCACCTTTGACATTGGAGAGCACCATCACGGTAGACACTGGAAGTCCGAAGACGGTTTTACGACTTGCACCTCCTCCAGCACAGCATGGCCCCAAAACGGCGGCACCTGCGCTACCGTCCTGTCCACGCGCGCTTCCGAGGGAGGTCTTCACATACGCCGAGAAGCAGGCACCAACATGTTCATCTCCGCCCGCGCCAAAGGCGTTGTCGGCGGTAGTAGCAGCGCACGCGAAAGGAGGGCCTCCGACAAGAGCGATGCTTCCGTTCTTCGCGCTTCCAGCTCCTGATGTTTGCAAAGAGAAGGAAGAGTCCCAGACGGCCGAAGCAATACCGTCAACGACATCTAGCGCATCGTCCGCCGTCGACCGGAGCACTGACGTTGTGGCTCTCACAGACCGGGAACCTATCGGACCGCTGCCATCGGCACCCTCCGAGGAGGATGAGGACGAGAAACCCTCTGCGGAACAATCGTCCACGGATGTTTGCCCCGTGCCAGCGGATTTACGCGGCGATTGGTGGCGTGGTTCCGCGGCGGGAGCCCATCCGAAGGGGGCTGAGGCCGGTGAAGGCACAACCGCAAGCTTTCCGCCTCGCTCGGCCGTCAACGACGACGACCGTCACGACACCTGCACAGTGCCCGCCTCCTCGAAGCCACTGCTGTTGCTCGGGTACGGCGATGGATCATCGCGGCAGCAGGAGGAAATCTGCTTGCTATCGCCTGAGGGCGATGGTGGTAAGACGAGGGAGGAAGGCGATACGGTGGCAGGGAGGTATGGTAAGAACGTCGAGGGCGGCGGAGACATGGGAGGCGATGGCGGGAGGTCCGAGGAGGCTGCCAGCTGCGAAGCTCTCACCGCGCTCGAGGTTTTGGAGGCCGCCGAAGGGTTTCTCCCGCACAAGGCGACTTGCCCTGCCGAGCTCCCCGTTGACAAGGCGCGACTCGCTACGCCGACAACACGGCCCCTCGCGACGATGCCGATGACGTCTTGCTTACCGGCTGCCGAAGAAGATTTATTTCCGAGACCGTCCGGGCAGGTGTGCCACGCAAAGGAGGACGAGCAAGCGACTGGGGGCGACGGGAACAGGGGAGACTTCGACGCCAACAGCGATGACGATGACCACAGGGCCGAGAACAAGGATGACCGCAGCACCGGCTTGAAGGCCCTCGTGCGAGAGTTCAACGCTTGGACGAGGACGGTGGACTTCCCGATTCGAAAGGTTGAGGCAGGGCTGATCGGGAACGGCATGCGTCTGGGTTTGGTGGCGACGGAGGCGATCCCCCAAGGGCAGACGTACCTCTCCGTCCCCGGATCGATCATTTTGGATGCGTCGAAGGTGAGACTGTGCCCTGGTGTATTGGTGCGTGCAGCGCTTCAGTGACTCGCGCGCATGTGGGAGAAGGGCCGCGGGGGTGGGGGGCGTATTCTGTGCAACACGGTATGCTTCCAGTCATTGGCCGTCCCAGTGCCGTTCGGTGACAGCCAAGCAAGAGGTTCAATGGCCTTTTCATTGCACAAAACGTTGGCCAAACGGTGGTGTGTTTTGAGTTGTGGTCGTGTGTGCATGTTTCAGGTATACTAGAGCATGCACGACTGGGGTAACTTGTCGATCAAAAAAACTTGTTGAGGCTGGCCTGACCGAGAATGATGCCCGAGCGCTCTACTACCTTGGCCTTCTTAGCGAGAATGACAATTTTTTCCGATTGGTCAACCGGACAGCGGTCGGGTAGACCTTATGCAATCTTCACGGAAAAAAAAACAATATTTTCAATGTGAATCACGCAATCCCTCCCCGAGTCTGGTTCAACAGCACGAAAATCAATGCCCCACTCCTATGCCCGATGTGTGGTTCCGTCTATCTTCAGTCCAACGTGAGTGCGAAAGTTGTTCTTCCCTTACTCATGCGCCTGGCTGGTTGCAGGCGCGCGGGAGCATACGCCTTTATCACTCTTTCTTTCGATCTACCCCCATGCTTGTGTCCGCCGTCTCATCGAAAATGTTCAAGGCGAGGACCGACCCCGAGCTGGGCCCGCCGCTCGCCAGGCTAGAAGCATCGCTTGGCCCCCTGGGCTTGTGGGACCAGGATACAGACAGCCTACGGGTTTTGCTCATCGCCGAGACCTTCGTTCGGGTGAGGGAAGCAGCGCTAGCGAGGCACCGCCCCCCACGAGAAATAGTCAACATTTTTGAGTCTCCGGGGACACGGCGAGAGTCGTATGTGCAGAGGGGCTCGTACGAAGAGGGTTGTAGGGTTGTATAACCGCATATACGATAGGTTTTAATTGCATTTTTATTTTTCGGTGTAAGGTACGTGTGGCGGCAATATTTCCTTCGTTAGGGGCGTGCAATACGACCCAGTGCCAGGTTATTTGCGCCCTGTCGAGCGATCAAGACCCGCGGATCCGGTAACTGCAGAATGATGCATCTTCGGACAACGGCGTCATGTGCTCGTTGAACAAGTCTCTCCCCGCGAATACTTACTTGGCAATCAATAGACCCGTCGGTCTGGCGTTTTCCTCGTCTCAAGTCGCCAAGGGACACATGAACACCCACACGCAAACGAACGTGTTCAGTGCTCGTGGTGGGCACCACAAATGATCTTTGCAGACGTGGGCCATTTTCCCGACACACCGCGTTTTTGTCCTCTACCGGCCTGATAAATATCAGGCGGACCTCTCCCCCTGGGCGCCATATCTTCGTCTTCTGCCGACGCTGAGCGAAATGGAAGCATACCACCCACTGTTCTTCGACAACGCGACGATCGCCTCCTTCGAGGGCTCGGACGTCCAGGCCTCCTTGAGGGAGCGCCGCGATTCGGAGATGGCCGGCTTCACGACAAAGTTCGCCGTCGAGGGGTCCGCCGGCCGAGAGTTACAGGTACCTAGGACCTACATCCCTCGTGGTACAACACAGGCCTCCGCAAGTAGGTTCCGTAACCATTCTGATTCTGGGACCGAATAACAGGTAGCTGGTACGACCCAGAAAATAACACTTATGCACGCCTCCTGGTAAAGACCGAAACAGCCCGCCCTTGAGTCGGTCCGGAAAAATTACCGGAAAAAAACTGTTTGCGGCAGTGTGACGTCGTCGTTGAGATCTTCTCCTACTCTTATTTGCCGCTGTCGGCCACCAGGACGTGCTCGGTGTGGGGTGGATAACCCTGGAGCGTTACCTTTGGGCCGCCGCGATCGTGGACAGCCGCTGCATCTGGTGGGGTGGACGGAAGCACCTAGTGCCCTTGCTAGATCTCGTGAGTTTGCTTTGTTTCTCTTCGATGGAGCACAACACTTCTTCAAGTTATTTCGCAACCAGGCACCATGTTCATGTGCACGGGAGCGCCGGAAACGTAGAAAAACGATTCCCGCAGCAGAAGCCGCTTGGGTATTCATGAGTGAATATATAATAGGTACACCACACATATCACAATATTCTTAGAAAATGCCCCCGGGCAACGAGAACCCCCCCCCCCCCCCGGAAATCACCGCCGGAAAGCTCAACAACTTTGAGGGCGCTCCGGGCCTATCGTAAGTTTTGCCCCGTCACATGGGCACTTCCTCCAGGGTGTTTGGTTTTTCGTTTCGGCAAGGCGTTCCAAAAAAACCGTAGTTGTCGTCGTTCTTGCCGTCGTCGTTGTCGTTCTCAGTTGTCGTTGCCGGTGTCACATGAATACACCTTTCCATTTTATTGAAACCGGGGCACCACCCTGGCACCTCGGTACTCTTGAGGCTAAACATACAACAAGTTGCTCTGTCTCAGGTCTCCCGGTGCAAAAGGCGGCAAAAGTGTTTGCTTGTGTTGTGTCTGGGGGGTGCCGCGAAAAGCAGCAAAGGCCAACATCCTGGAGACTCATTCGCCCCAACGTTGCTATATGTGTTGCTGAAGGACCCTGTTCTACCTCTGACGATGCCGGCGTGTTCTTTTCCAATGATTGTGTTTGGGTGTCCCTCGGGGGGCGTTCTTGCAGGGTGTTTGAGGTGTGGAGCTACGGTAGGGGAAGCAAGTCTGCTCCCCCTAGTTATAGGCGAAACTGGCTGAGGTCTCTCACGAAATTATATGGATACAATCTATGGAAGCGCTTACACAGCTTGAGAGGGGTATCTGCAAATCATGACAGCACGAAATGCAAACAACGTTCTTATTTCGACCCTATCGGGATCTCTGGTGCTTCGGAACTTTCTCTGCCTCACCGCAGGTGAACGACGCCCGGGACAGTCCGTTGGATTTCGTCCACGAAACTCTCCAAGACTCCGATGGAAGCGCCGTTACAGCGGCTGCGAGAAACGTCGACAAAGGCGACCAGGTTCCGTTGTTGTTGTTGTTGTTGTTGTGGGTGATCTTGTTCTAGTTATTGTTCTTCTTTCACTTGGCGTTGCCGTCGCTGCCCTCGTTTCTTTGCAGTCTAATTTTCGCTGCGTACAAGCATGCTTGTTGTTCGGATCGGAGCCATGAGTATCTCACAGATGAGGTGTGCAAGGACGGAGAACTTTCCCCAAAGTAGGTGATGATCGGCAATCCTCACAACCACGGCACACAGATTCCCAGCGTATGCAACTTGCGACGCCTTCTCCGATGAACAACCTAGTTCCAATCCGGTCCTTTGTCGTAACTTTGTGCCATTGTCACATTTTCTCAACCTACTCGCACCCATCACTAGGTTTCGACAGTGAGTGATAATTTGTCCACGCCGCCTACTTTGGGTCGTACTGGAGGTATCCAGAAACTCTTACATCCTGATTTCTTATTCGGTTCGCGTGGGTTTAGGTCGCACTTGAGGTTCCTGGGTGAACGGGTGTCTGAACGAGTGTTATCTGCGCTCTTTGCGTCCCCATGCTTATTGTAGGTGATGGAGGACTACGGCCACCCGAACCACGTTCTCATTTTCGAGCACGGTTTTTCCTTCGGCCGAGAGAACCGCCACGACTGCGTGAGGATCGACGCACAGCGGCCGCCCCGGCATGGTGCCGACTACCGGGAGACGTTGAGGAGAGTGCTGGAGGTGAGTCGTTGTGGCCTCTCTCGTAAACACGCCGTTTGTTCGCCCGGTCATGTATGTTGGTCGCCCATTCAAACGCTTTTAGAAATGGAGCAGTAGGCTATGAGGGGCGGTTCAGACCGTGCCGCGGCACCACCAGGATTTCTAAACGGTGTTCGGTGGGCATGTCAGGTATTGACAGGAGGGAATTGAAGCTTGTCATCTGCTCGGCACACTTGACGAAACGGCACAAGGGCACGGACCTTGACATAGGTTCCGTCCGCATTTTCCTCTTTCATGACCAACGCGAACAAATCTTGTTCTGTCGATAGTCCCCTAAATGCATTCGCTGCCTCGTTCACTGGCCCTGCCGCACGTTCGTGTGCGCCGCCATTGGCAAAAAGTTGATTTTGCCCCGCTGCCTACCCCTCGCTAACGCTCAAGGGTTTCACCTCATGGTACTGCTGTTGTCCTACGAACATCGAACGTATCCATCCCCTGTCCAGGCGTTCCCTATGGGCAGGCCTATGTTCTGCATCTCTCTCCGCAGCAACGGGCCCTTCGACTTCGTCCCTTACGTCCGCATCATGGCGGGCCTTCCCGCTGTCGCCGATCAACAACGCCTCGTTCCAAACGACTACGACCGCGGTAGCTGTTCGTCTTCTATCGGCTTCGCTTCGGCCGACACCGACTACGGCGAAGACAGTCACTTCCCTTTCATGCCCGTGACACGAATGGACTACGATGAAGAACCCCGCGCCCGTTCGTCAAAAACAGAGGAAACGTGGCCTGGCCGGGCTCCGTCGGATGGTGGTTCTGGTGTTCACGAGCGCTGGCAATCCCTCTCCAATGACGCGGAAGGCCTGAGGGCAGTCGTCCATGCGTTGAAGCTTCGGTTGTCAGGTTATCCGACGGCGGTTCCGCTCGGCCTCGCTGATGACGGGGGCGAAGTGGTGATCGGCAGTGGTGGGGACGCCGAAGAGAGTGTAGGCCGCGCGGCGTCCGATCCCAGCCACGGCAAGGTTCCTTCCTGTACGACGGAGGTGAAAGAGACGATAAGAGCGAGTGAGCCAAAGATATTATTGACTTTACCTCGAACCAGCGATTTGTCACGTCCCTCCTGGACGGGTCTGGGGAGGCACTGACCGGGAACCTTCCACGGCGCACCAAGAAGAAGTGCAGCGCCAAGAATGGCCAAGCAGCCAGTGGGAATCTTAAGGTTGCTACACATGTTATGCCTAGCCCACATCACCCTGTCTACACCAGAAACAACCGAAGAACCGACAGTAGATCTCTACTTTTTCGCAAAATGGTGACGACAGAACATGTCTCCATCTCGGAAGGGGCGCACGGTCGAGTTGCGACGACTTACAACCTTCAGATCCCTCTGGTATTTATTCCTAGATGGATGACAGGTCGAATCGACTGTGCGGACCAGGAACAACTCTCAACAACATTTAAGGGTAATCAAGGCAGAAGACTTGTCCCCTAACTACGGGACCTTTACACATAGGGGTCGAACCTGACTCCGACAGTCGGGGTGTTTTCATGTTGTGGGACCGTACTTTCTGTCTGGGGTCGGCTAGTTCCAATCTGATCCGGGTTCAGACTGGCTGCCGAAGCCCCTCGACACACCCACCCGGATCCCATTGTCCACGACACGGTATTCCAGGTGTTTTTGGACAGCGAGAAGTACCTGCTGGGGGAGCTCCACGACTACCTCGCGGCGTTTCTTCCTCCCACCGTTGACGTCTTGGCCGCACCCCACGGAGGCGTTACCCAAAACAATGATAGCAGGAGCGATGGCAAGACCCCCAACATCAAGTCGTCAGCTGAAACTGGAACGGGAAAACACGGCTGCGTGTCGAGGAAGGGCGACGCCGATGCATGCGTTTAAGGCACCGACAACGGCAACGCCGGCCACGGCCAAGCCGATCTGGCATCGAACTCGTGATGCGGAGGAGCTTGTACGGACGGTCGAGCGAAGGGCGACTATATAGCCGCTGGTGCACGGTTGCCCCACAAAGTCAAACGAAAGGGGCTGACACCGATATCAAGCTGCTTAGTTATGCTGCTGCTCGTAGCGAGCATCCCGCACTTAATGGTGGGATATGCTGTGGACAGCTACCATCTACAGCTTCCCGCGAAGTGTTGCTCCGTTGCAATTGTTTTGGCTTCGTTTTCGATGTCAACGATTCGCCGCGACGACATTGAGGCTTTCGAGAGGTGCCAATCTTGTCGAGGATGAGGGGAAAGGGGGATTGATGAGCTTTGCTCTGTTCGTTGGTCCATGTGGGAGGCGAGACAGCATGTGTTTGATTTGTGTTGTGATTTTAGAGTTTGATTCAGAAAGGAGACGAGATACGGAAAATAGACCAATGGCTGCAACTTTTGTTCACCCTAGCTATGTAGCTACGCGTGAGCTACGTCTTACAGCGTTTTATGTGCTTCTTCAAATGTTCCTTCTTGTCGTAATAGTACGTGCGTTGCGAGAAAAATATGTGGTATGTCTTTTTCATGAACTGATGAGCTTAAAGGCTTGCGCTCAGCGTTTTGTATTGCGTGTCATGCACCAACGCTATATGTTGTCGGGCTGTCTACCAATCAATGGGAACGAACAATAGAGAGGCGCATAGGGTAACTTTCCCTCGTCAGGATGTGCTATTAGTACTTTACTGCAGTCTGCGGGAATGAGTGTAACGAAAACATCAACATTTCGTAGGTTTCGTACCGAAGCACTTTTTTTCCGGAGGCGGCATCTGTGCGGAGTGTATAGTCGCCCCCCCATCCTTCGTGTTTCCCTTAAAGCTTGGTGGTGAGCTTTGCAACGCGGTGGTATAACAGTTTTTTTTATGTTGATGGTTGGGCCAGCTGCGTGCTTGCTTTTTCGCGTGCGCGTGGAGGCAAATTTTGTTGTTGTCGTTTGTCGTGTGTATGGCACTCAGCATAATTTATCTTTGGGCATACTCCGCGCGCCCTATTTCCCACACCGTGTGCACTTTTCCTCCGTGGACATTCTGTACGACGTTGCCTCCATGCCGGACCCCGAACAATCCACCTGCAGCATGATGGGCAAAACACCGTTTGTCCCAATCAATCAAAGGGCTACCTTCGTTCTTCGACGTTGTCTCAAGAATACGACTTGAACAACCCCAACCCCCCCCCCCAACAATCTGCATGTCTCCAACCTTGCATGAGGGTCCGAGGTTTCCATTTTGCCAACCATTCGGGTTGCGAGAGGCTTGCACAATGATGTTGAGCACGACCAGACATCAGTTGGACGGTCTGAGTTATAAGCTGTGTGCAACCAAACGGGCGAACATCGCACCATCACCGTTTCGACAACCCACCCCTCAATGTTGTCAGTCCAAACGCATTTACGCCGGTTTCTTCGTGGATCCTGGGCTATTCGCACGCGTACGTGGTTTCGATTGCACATTTTCCCGCCCAGGAGAGTAGTCTATGGATTTATCCAAATACTCGAATATTCCTCCATGCACTAAGTAGCCCAAAACCTGATTTTGTTTGTGATTGACACTACATGTATATACAGAATTATGAACGAACAGAGTAAAAATTCGGCTTCACCATGCATATTTGCTGCGCAAAAGATGGTACGGGACTTCGCTGTAACAGCGCGAGCCCGTCAATTTCGCGTCCAGGCTCAATTTCTTATTTTGTCGCCACCGCCGAGCACGTTAACGTTAGTGCACAATCCACCAAATCTGTGCGCTGGCTGTGATTGTTAAGTTTTTGTGTGGACAAAATTGAGCCCGTTCTGCATCCATTCACAAAATAGTGACGCAATCCAACCCCTTGAAAGGGTACCCGAGAGCACGAAAAAGAAACAGGAGCTGGAAATGATCAAAACCGCAAGACATTTTGATGAAATAGGGCACAGTGTGGGACTCACCCGGCCACTCACTCACTAACTTGGGGCATATGCTCTGCTTCAAACTCACTCAAAAGTAAAAAACTTCGATTTTTCGATTTTTTTTTTCCTCCCTTGGGTAGTGACAAGTGACATGCATGCATGTGAGGCAGCAGATCGCCCCCGCCCACCCCAGACCAATACCAACGGCCTCAAAGGGACGAAGGCCTCGCTTGTGGGATGGCACGCCAGCTATGAGGCGTTGCACCGCATTGAGGTGACCCAACGAGCAGCGGCTACCTGCCAACGAGAGCCAAAGTCAAAACAGCTTGCCTGGGGTGGTAAGGGTTCAAATAATCAAATGATAGTATCGAGGAGGCACACCGCCAAGAACCCCCTCTAATATTCAGGCAAGAGTGTGCTAATAGGGGTCGGTGCCAACACAGGTGTATGTGCTGTTCGTTGAGGTGTGATTCCAGCTCTTGCTTGCTCTCCGGCCACAGGGACCAAAACAGACAAAAAATCCAAGCCCATGTGCTACATGTACACTGCAGTTGTGTGTGCGAGTTGCAACGAAAACGTCGCTAATATGCATAAATAGCCTCTCATCAGTCGCGCTGTCCTGTCTCCGATCGGCAAGGCAAGAAGTGATCCCAGAACGTTGTCCGTCATGGACAACAGGGAGTCGGGGAGGTCTCCACCGTCTCCAAGGCTCTTCATTTGGTCTAGAAAGTTCAACCTATCCCCAACACCTGTTGTTGATTACAGCTTGCAGTCTCGCCTCTCACTAAAACACAATAATTCGGAGCTAAAGGCGCGTGCGGGGGACAGGTCAAAACGGGTCGCTATTCTCCCAGCCCGCTGCTCCACCCCCCGTCAAAGCCGTACTGCCCGGCGAGGTAGAAGATCGGCGCGAAAGGCTTCTTGGGCAGAAGGGAGCACCAGTTCCATGCAGAGGTGAGCCGTCCGTCGATGCAAGACCCCCCATCGTCCCCGGAGCCATCCCATCCGTGCTGTTGAGGGAAACACACACACAAAAACATGCGAACGCGAGACCAAATCGGCAGCAAGGGCATTCGGTAGCAGCGCGGTGGTTAGGGTGTGAAAACAATGAGGGTACTAGGAGAACGGTTTGGATCTTTCTCATTCATCTCAAGAGAAAAGAGGAAAAACACAAGTCGAACGTGGTGTTCGGGGAGTTTGAAGACATTCGGACGTTGAGGATTGTTGTTCGATACGCCTGTGATTTGTCAGCACAAGGAAGGACCTCCGGACAAGCACTCGTCAGGGCAGAGTGCAACTACGAGGGGAAAACAACAAAACCCGATGGCCGGTTCGACGGCTTACGCGAGAAACACGACCGTTGTTGGAGCGCCCATGAGCTTTGAGAGCACGATCAACAAAGTGAAAGAACACTTTACGCCGCTTCATCTACATATTGATCGTCAATGAGAACAAACCCACTTCAAAAAAGAGTGAGCTAAGCTTGTCTTTGCAAGAGCGGTTGTCCATCCCAACAACTTCATGCTTCACGAGGGAGTCCACGTTTCGTACCGCACTAAAAAAACACGCCCATTTGCTCACCTTGAAAAAGTCCGACAGGATGGCCATCTTGGCGTTTTGGACGCCGCCCCAGCCTACGTCCACGTAGTGGCCGAGGACCGGGTCATGAGCCATCTCTTCCAGCGATCGCACCGCCTCAGCCACGGGGTTGAGGATCCGAGGGATCTGGCAGGAGAAACGGAAACCGAAGTCGGCGTGACGGGGGGGGGGGGGCTGGATCGGACCGTCCAAATCATTTCTTGCTCGCCTCGAGTCATTTGGCCGTTTGGCCGCCCATCTCCTGACGAGATGAGTAAAGTACCGTGTTGATCCCTAATGGCAACACCTCTGACAATGGGGTTCTCTGAGATCGGCGTGGAGCGCGGGGGGGGGGTAAACAGGGCTTTGCCAGTAGACGCAACAACTAAAATGTCGTTCCTGCAACAGCACCAACCCTTTCCTTCACGCCCACTGGCAAACAACTTGATAGCCTGCTTTTGTCCTATCCGCGTGCATAGACTACACTGCCATGCCCCATCTGAACAACACGCAACAGAGAACAGGCACGTTGACAACCAGCACCAACCTGAGTGTACTTATCGATGAAAACGAGAGCGTTGGGGACGTCGCGGTCCCCCAGGTGCACCACGCTCAGGCCGACCCACGGCCCGCACGTCGACTGCACTACTCTCAGGATTCGTCGCATTTCCTGGCTCACCGAAGGGCACTGCTGGACCCTTTTTTAAACACCAGACCAGCGAAAAAGGTGATGTTTAATAGGCAGCAGACCAAGCAAGTCAAGACATTCGTTCCGTCAGATGGTGATGATAACTCCGAACTGGCACTAATACACCGCCTCAGCGTCTTTCGCTCAGACTGCCGTACGTAAGCGTAAGGTACCACACCCCCTCGACCGATTTTCAGACCTCGAATACTCCGCGACAAAGAGCACGCAAAAGCTAGAGGATACATTTTAGGAAAGCTCTCGACGAGTCGAGGGGGTGCCAACGCCTCCCGCCATTTCCGTTACCACCGCTGCTGTTTGTGCTGCAGAATTATCGGGCTTTGACAATCGGCCCAGGGGGTAAACTATCTTACGCAACCTCCGGTGGCACATTCGCCGGGTCGTGCTCAAGTGCCGAGCCCACGCCCCTGCCTAAAGCAGGATGATGGCATGGTTAACGTCCTCCCTTGCCTCTTCCTCAACACCCACAAAAGCGAACAGACACGAAACAACAGGAGCAAACAGCGCTCGGCACATGCTCAACAGCTCAACACAGACGATGAGAAGGCGTACCTGTTGAGCCCTTGTCCCGTGTTCTGCAGCCGGTAGGAGGCCTTCCCCGAGAGCAAATCGCTGTCCGCGAAGTACCACAGCCTGACAAACGAGAGGAGAGGAGAGGAGGGAGGGGAATGGGCGGTCGACCCCTTTGAGATGCAAAAAAAACACGTGGTTCCAAGCCAATACAAGTTCGATTGGTTGGAGGTGTCGCTAATGCGCACGTCGCGGACATCTCTGGGGACAAGAAAAACAAATGCAACACAACAGGGCAAAGGTCTCTTGCTCATCGCTGCTCGCTCACGGAAACCCGCTTTTTAGAAAAGTGTCACTCAAAGTCCAACAGACGAAAAACCCTAGGCAACATACAAGAGAGAATCGCAATCGCCGAGGTATGCGCAAGACTATTTCAGTGTTTGCTTCCGATCGACGGCAGAAGCAGCGTCAGAGCACATCGACGTTGGCATGCAGCGAGAGATCGCTTGGTATCGGCATCTGCACAGCAGTGTTTTTCTTACCGGTACATGCTTCTCATGGCCTCGCTCCACAGCAGTAGGCTTTGCCACACGAAGGTGTATTGCGTGCGGTGGTCGTGCGACAGCTGCGCCGACGAGGAAGAGCCGAACATGGACGAGATCCCGTACCCTCCCCTGTATAGTGCACGCCAGAACGGTCACGGCGAACGGTTACAGTACACAAGAGGGGAGGGGAGAGGGTGCCGTTCGACAAAACAGACAAAACCATCACGCTCAGACGTTCAAGATCCCGCCAAGTCTACTCTGAATCGACTATACATTACACGATAAAGAAACGGCGAATCATCCGGTGGGCTTTCATGGTTTGAAAATCAAGGTTGTTGCATCATCCAACGTGCAAGTCGTATCATCCGACGACCACGTCATTCGATGGACTAGACGGCATCACGGCAAGTGGCCAGCAAACCGACAAGAGAAGTAGCAACACGACAGCCAAGCCAGCAACAGCAACAGCCAGCAGCCAGCACTCACCCATACCCGGAGCTGAACGAGCTGCCGTAACTACTGTACATGGATGACGACGACGAGAATCTGGTTTCGTCGGAAACGGGCGGGAGGGAGGCAAAACGGGCACAAGAGTGTGTTGATTGAGAACCGCTTGGCAAGGGCGCACTTTCGGCAGCATTCTCACCGTGGTCTCCTGTTTCAGACGCCGGCGTTCACGCCCATCCCAAGGAGTGCCATCAAATATCAAACACAACATGAGCCTGAATGACGTACGAAATGCTTCCCGAGAGATCAGCAACGCACACAAAGCTGTGAATGTGGGCCGTTTACGCGTACGAGCTAATACACCAACGTTACCTCCCGCGCGCTTAATACTCCGCCTCGACACACACAACCGCCCACCTACCCCGCCCACAGACCCACACAAACGCACAGATCCACCCACCCATCTATCCACATACAGTACCAACCCACGTACCGTTTTCTTCCTCCGCTAGCACTAAGCTTGAGGCTCCACTCTCCCTCGGGCTTGTCGGGATGAAAGTTATCCTGCAGGAGGCTGATCGTTCTGTAGTGGACAACAAGCAAGCAAGCAGTGACAACAAGAACAAGAAAGAGGGAGGGACAAGACCCGACATTTGAACGACAACAACCGAGTCAAGCAGTTGGGACAACAGCAGTCTTTCTTCCCTCAGTATTCTCCAGGTATTGCTGCTGCTACTGCTGCTGCTGCCTACTGCTCTCTGTCTCTCCATCTTCTGTTTCTCTCTCTCTCTCTCTCTCTCTCTCTCTCTCTCTCTCTCTCTCTCTCTCTCTCTCTCTGTATCCCCTCCCTCCCCCCCTCTCCTACCTCTCAACAGGAGCCACGTTGAAGGCGATGTAGTTGTTCGCGTCCGCGATGGAATCCAGCACTCTCTCCACCTCCTCCTTGGGGAACGAATCCGACACGTAGTCCTTCAGCAGCCCCGCCCTCGCCTTGTTTTTGGCAGCAACCTGGAAACTAACCTGCTCACCGAGCGACGCAAGGGGGTGCACACCAGGAAAAAACCCGAGCGTATACATCGGGCCGATGCTGCTGGTGTTGCCGCTGTGTGGTTGTAGTTTGTCACGACGGCTGCTGCTAGAGCTGCTAGAACGTCATCTTCGAGGGGGCAAATACTATGTTCCAAGCCACCTCGGTTCGGCGGGTGACGTCATTCAGTATTTCGACCAAACAAATCAAGGCATGCACGACAATGCAGCAGAGGGATTTTTCTGTGTGTGTGAGCGTGGGTCGCAGTCAAACAGACGCATCGTACCGTACCTTAGGCGTAAAAGTGCGAGCGATCGAGAAAAAAGTGGGAAAGAAACCAACGTCCCTATGCTTGGAGTCATGCCCGTCCCATTTCGTCCCATCTCTCATCTCTGCCTCACCGATGGCACACATGCACGTCGATTCCCATAATCTCTTATCGAAACACGTTCTGTGGCTCACCTCTGCTTTGCTCATGGAGATGCCCGAAATGTCCGCCGTGGCCGCCACGACTCGCTCGTCCTGCAGCATCTCCAAGCCTCCTCGATCCTCCACCAAATCATACACCATCTGTTGCGGGCAAAACGGCGCGTCAACAAAAAACAAGGATACGCTCTTTCCTTTTCTCACGAGTGCTCCGAATCCGGAGGCAGGAATTCCCCGTCCAAGCTTCCCTCGCGCATCCCCACCCGCCGCGGACTACAAACAAACCTTGTTGAGTTTTTGTGTCCGGCGGCGAAACTGACATATGTGATTGGTCAGCACGGTCGCGCGGTGAATGCCAGTGAACACACAAACACATCAACAGCGACACGTTTTTCTGTCTTGAATCCATAAAAATCCGCAGAATAGTCTATCTGGCCTCCCCCATGACCCTCCCTCACGGGTTCCCATAACTTGGCCTTTAGAAGGGTCTCCCCTTGGTAGCCTCGCTGAGGCTGGCTTCTTTCCATTGGCCAATCGGTTACAGAACGCGCCCCCACTTGAGAATCCGAGAAAAATTGAGCAATAAAAAAAATCAAAACTTATGAACTTGAGCACCATTTGTGAGCTCGGTTAAAGAAGAATCCTTACACCAAAAACCTATTTAGCGGCCATTCGGAGCATGATGACCCCGGACACATAGATAACGAATCTCAGCCTCGGCCGAAACTATAGAGGTTCTTAAGCGCGGGCACGTTCTGTAGCGCGGTCGATGCTACCCATAAAAAGGCACACACCTGAATGTCCTTCACTAGTTCCAACCCCACTCGCCCCTGCGCCTGCGCGTCCTGCAGCATGTACATCATCTTGCCGTAGAAGTCCCTGAACTTCTCCGGGTTGGTGATCTTGTATCGTCGCCCGACCTTGCCCGTCAAGATAAACAAGAGGTACAGGTGTCGAGGCCCAGGAAGGAACCAGGCCGAGAAAACGCGTACGGTCGGGCAAGCGGCGCGTGAAACAAACGTAGGAAGACCAAAAATACACACGTTAAATAACGTCCATGATGGGCTGCTTGCTGCACTCGAATGGGGGTATCCATGACGCACGCGGGTACGCCTACAGCGCACGGCACGGCGCGCTGAAAGGCGTTGTTGGTTTACATCGGCGGGAGGCATGTATCAAGTCAAAAGCAGACAGCACCCGATTTTTTCACACCTTCGACACGGCAGTACAGAACATAGTCTTCAACATTGTAAGGGCACCCGTAGTTCTCCGTGAAATAAATAAGAGGGGATCCATAAAGCGCGTTGGAAGTGCCCAAAAAACTAACCCCCCCTCGTATTTTTATAGTTCTACCGGGCACCATGCTTCTGAAAAAAGCGTTTTTCAAAGTGTGTGGGGGAGGAGTGTCCTGAAGCGGGAGGTGTCCTCTACGACGGGGAAAAACTGCTGTACTGCACCCAGTAGTCTACGCAGCAAAATGGATTAAGCAAGATATATGGGATAAAGTATTCAATCCGTGCTAGGGTTAGGGTCATAGGGTTAGGGATACGGTCTGCGTGCCCCCTCCCTATTATTTTTCTAGGTACTCTTGAAATCCTGCGTAGGCGGTCCACTGCACCTCGAAGATCTCGGCGAACGCGTCCTGGTTGTCGTCCAACGAGTCGAGGAGGGCCGCGTTCTTCTGCCCCCAGTTAAGTTCTCCTGCCCGTGTTGTTTTCGTTGCGTACGGACGGCGCATGCACACACGCGGCGGGACGGGGGGGGCGAGTCGGTTCATCGTGCATTTTTCGTTGAGGAGCAGGAGACCCGCTCCTATTCCTTAAACGATTGACTCCTCTACAACGTCACCAAGGGCGAAAGAGAGATAGATGCCGTCGATCACGCGAAGCCCTCCGGGAGCCGACTCAAAATCGCAAGTATGCAAAACGAGCAAGTTTTTTGCTACGTAAGGGACGTCTCTCCGTAGATTATTGTCGTTGTTGTTGTCGCTGCTGCTGCTGCTGCTGCTGCTGCTGCTGCCGCTGCAGCACTCTTCACATCTAAAAAACGCTTTGACGATTAGTCTCTGCCAGGAAATCGTTGCGACCTCCCATTCGGCCTGCGCCCCGGCGGCGGTCGAAACTGGTCCAGCCTGGACTGATAGAACGCACCTCCTACGGCAACGGAACTCCCCATCGCAACCACAAGGAAACCTGCCGCAGATGTACGTACGACACAAAGGAAGAAAAAAAAAAAAAAAACGCCCCTGCTCGTCCCTCGAACAACTCTGGTTACTGACGCAAGGTTGAGTGTCCGAAAGAAAAAAAACACACAAACGAGTGGAGGCAGAAAACACGTCGCGATACAAGTCCCGACCACGAGACCATCACGCATTGCACATCATGCGGTATCTCAGGCAGAAAATTGCTCGCGTGAGAGAGGCTACGTCACGAAGAACCCATTCGCGACTACACAGACGCGCATAGCGGGAAAAACATTAAAAAATGCTTCGAAAAACCGCCAAGTCGACGGAATGCCCTCCGGATGCTGGCAACACACAGGAGGGACGAACGACACGGCAGCCGCCGTCACCGGGTGCGGAAAATTCGAAGAATGTTCTCCGATTTCTTGGACCGAGCGCACGCGCGGGGGGTCAATTTTTCTGGTGAAAATTAAGTCGCACACGAGCTAAAAACAAACTTCTTGGCCTCCACTCCGCAGCGAGCGCTGTGTCGGCTGGGGAAGCCAACAAAAATACGACAACAGCTCACCCGCGACCATCATGCCCGAAAGCGCTGCGAGGGTCATCCGAAGCTCCTCGTTGATGGTCCTGGCCTTGGAGCTCCACCTACCGGAGTACACGTCCACTCTGCATAGAACGATACATAGGACGACAACGTCGCCACACGCACGCGATGTAGAGCGCGCACATGGTGGTGAAAGCAAGGGGGATGACGGTGATTGCACTCCAAAACGAACCCGTGTGCAAGGTATACACGTGCAGTCTTCCTCTGTTGCTAGATACCGTTTCTATCTTTAATCCGGAGAATTGCGTAGCCTCCCACTTGCCGCCCCCTTACGGGGTCCCAGTTCATGGCCTTTAGAAGTGTTTTGTGTTTGCAACCGCACTGAGACTGACGTCTTTTCATTGGTCAGCCGTTTAGAGCGGTCGATGCAAATAAAAAAGACGCACAAACACACCCGGGCGAGCTCGGCGCATCACACAAAAACACGCGGTTGGGCAAGGACGTGGTACAGGTTGGGGAGAGGTGGTGTGCGTTCCCCCCCCCCCCCGTGA